TGCTTTTTGAAAGTCTTGAGGTCTTCAGGTCTTCCGAGTTTGGCTGGTGAAGCAGCCACCCCGCCCCTTGAGCTGGTGATGTTACCCATCACTGAAGTATAAATTTCAGCTCAAAGATGTCCTCAAGGCGTTTTGGGCGCATCCTCGCTTACCAATTCGAGCCAACCTTCGTGCATCGGGCGCCCTGGTATGCTTGCTCTTTATCAGGTTCCCGAAGGTAAGCGTCAGAATTTCCTTCTGACAATCAGGAATTCGTATTTTCAAGGTTCTAGCCTTTCAGAACTTGACTATCACAGTTCGAGAAGGTATCCAACCCCGCCTCGCCCGCGTACCCTAAACTAGAGTGCCTGGGGGTCTATAAAGCCATGACCTGTCTTGAGCGTACCAAGATGACTTACGTTCCTTAAGCATATCGCGTTGTCTCTAAGGTCGTCATGCACTGGTTCCAGAACATTCAGAACACCTGGCTTGGACGTCTGGGCGGGGCCTCTGTTTCGAGTGATCCTCAGTCTTATACTACTCCACATGTCACCCAGCCCCCGTCCTATGCTTCACTACCTCCATTCACAACACCACGAACATCAGGCTCAAACCACTCAACCGGCCCCGCATCGGACACTGGCCAGTCTGAGAGATCAGATGCTTCCCACGACATCACTTCGGACCAGGGACGTGAAATCAAAAAACTTGCAAAGGCCTACAGGCCGGAGAAAGATATCGCAAAGATCAATGGCAAGGGTGACACCAAGGAGAAGCATTGGCCTGGAGAAAAAAAACCTGATCCGCATGAAGACTTCAAAAGCAAAGAGCTTGTAAAAGAGCCATATGTTATTCCGACAAAGACTGAAAACCCACCCTCATCAAGCGAGAAGTCAATCCGTCAACAACGGCGATGTGTAATTTGTGTTGTTATCATCATCGGCGTGGTGATAGCGTTGTTGGCAGGAATAATCACCACCGCTGTGTTACTGACAAGGTATAAGCTTCGGTCCTCTATGATACTTGTACCTGTCATATTTCAACATTGTACCCCGTCGTCTCACTAATTCAATTTGCATTTACAGACCCGATGGACCTGCAGCCTCGAACTCCACCACAACCACAATCACCACCACCGTGACTTCGGTTACTGACTCGACACAAGTGTATACCTCCACGTTGACCTCAGCCAAGGTTCTCTCGACGACTGACACACTGTCAACCATGGTGACCAAAACAGACACAACCTTAACGACATCTGTGATACTCGCCACGCACACGGCCTCATCGGCTCAGCCATCATCGACCAGCACAGCCTTTTACCTCGGGGGCTTTGATGCGGTCGTTGCTTCGGGCCAGAACAACATGTTCTACACCGATCAAAGTAGGTCTGTGCAACATATCTACGACGGCGGTGACGGTTGGGAAAGATCCACTCCTACGGCGATCGCGAGCAACGTCAAGCCAGGAAGCCCCATTACTGCCTCGCTCGTGACTGCTTCCGCTGGTGACTATTCGGAGGTACGTCAAACAACTCGCAGAGCTGCGTTGCCACTGAAGTTGACTAACGATGAATAGATATACGTCTTCTATATTGACACGGATAACAAGATCCGAGCAGTGGTTTCCAGCAACTCATGGGGCGATTATACGCTCAGTTCCTTGGAGCTTGAGGCCGCCGATTCGATGTTCATTAGGAGCTGCGTTCCAGACAGCGACGAGTACAGCTACCATGACGACGCAGATCTGTATCTCTACTTCGCGTCTCCACCAGCGGGTGAGATCAGGAAATACGCGTACTGGCGCTTGTCAGCCACGTGGAAGGAACTCTTCGACTTGCCGCCGGTCACCAGCTTGGGCCGTGAGATCGAGTGCCAGTTCATGGGCGGATTTGAGGCCCTCTGGATGGCCGACGCCCAGAGTGGGCTGCTGCAACAGTGGTGGAGGTCAAAAGCAGCTGGACAGGACTGGACATTAGGTGAGGGATTCCTTTTCGCAAGAGCGGGCCACAACACGACTGTTTGAGAGGCTGACAATAAGGCTCAGGAGTCCAAGGCGCGGATCCACTGCACCCACACACGTCCCTACTATCCCTCTCTGCAGCAGAAAACAACCGCACACACATAATATTTCAATCTACTTCGCTGGACATCCGCCGGTACGATATCAGCGGGCTCGGCACCTTTGCCGACATCGACGGCAGCGGCGTCATCCACACCGGCACCAGCACGCCAGGCACGCGACTCACCACGTGGGCGAATTCCGGGTACTGCGGCGAACAAGTGGCCGTGTACTACCAAGTGAGCAACACCTCGGAACTCCATTACCAGACATTCCAGGATAGCTGCTATTTAACGGGTTACTATGATGAGGAGTTGACTTGCTACATCACCGAGGGAGACTCCAAGCGCGATAGAGTCATGCCACTTGTCAAGACGTACGGTAAGAATGTTCACCATCATAAGAAGTATACTGGTTGGGCGGGGTTTGGATTATTTGTGGCGGCGTGCGCCGCGCTGGGTGTCTTGATTTGTCTGTGTGCAGTTTGTGCCTCGTAGCGTGGGAAAGGCGCTCCGAGATCGATGAAAGAACAAATGTGCCGCTGGAGGTGGTATTGCCTCTCGCTATAGAAACTATGTAGAGCTCTGGTTAGATGAAAGCTGACCACAATTGGATTGAACTTGAACATTTCATCCTTGGTTCACTTGCCCTTTTTACCTTTCAGCCTACCAATTTCTTGTGTGAATCCCATTATGCCTTCTGTCCTAAAGCATCGTGAGAGAGAAAAAAAAACACATGTGTTGACTTGGTATTTCGGGGATGATGCATATACCAGATTTCAATCCTCAGCTCCTTCCAAGTCCAAAAGCTCCATGAACGAGATCTCATCAAGACATATTTGTTCTAACGATTGAAATGTAGAAAACAGTTTTCGCCCCAGACACTCAACCGAAAACTGAACAAGCGCCCTGTCGAGTCCGCAGCAGACTAACTACAGAGCAGTGGGCCAAAATCCGCCCTGGGGTCATTTCAAACGTCGCAAGCACGCGCAAGACCGAGCATGGGTGACTGGATGCCGAGTAGGGAAGTGGCCAGCCTAGTATCGCGGTCCATTTTGCACTCAGCGTGTCATTGTGAGACTGAGCAGAAGTGAGGGGCAGGTTTAACCGGTCCCTAGAGCGTCAGATTAGGCCCGATGTGTGTTTTACTCTCGGTGCTGTTCGGCTTAAGGTTCAGTTAATGCTCCGGTTAAAGGGGGCTTTGCTCACCCCTCCAGGATCAATTCGCGAGTAATCCAGGTAACTCTCTGGGTATATGCTGGTGGCATAAGTCCCTGTCTGACGTAGTTGGCGAACGAAACTCCCCAAGTCAAATCACATCCAGACTCAATCAATCATCCAAGAAAACCCATTCAGAGATTGTGTGCTCTCATCATTGACGTCGACCAAACAAAAGACTAGCTCACGGGTTACATCTCTCAACACCAGTTACAGCCCCTTTGCCATCTGATATATACATTTCGTCAGCAACCCCGCTTCTCCGGACGTCCCTCGACTGATCTGAAACCGAAGAGAATCATCAAAAGCGAAGAAACAATGGACATCTCTCCATCCACATGGCGCATCCTGGGTCTGTCAGTGGCGACGACGTACATCGGCCTAGGCACATTCGCGCTGACCTGTCCGGTTCTGGCGGCCAAGGGGTTCGGGCTATACCCGCACTCGTCCCCGTCTACATCCAGCCCAGCGGCGCCGCCGGGGTCGAACGCGAACCCGACCAAGAGCAGCACGTCGCCACCCGAGCACGCCAACGCCGACGTGGCCAACCACGCCGCCGCCGTGACGACCTCGATGGTCCTGCTGGGGGCGCGCGACCTGAGCATCGGCATTGCACTCACAAAGTTTGGCGTCGACGGCAAGCTCCAGGACATGGGCACCCTGATCCTCGCGGGCATGGTCCTCTGCGCCGTCGACGTCTATGAGATCTGGCGCCTCCGGGGGCCCGGTTGGGGCGCTGCCTTTGCCGCGGGCGCCGGCATGTGGTTGGGCATTGGGTTTGGGTTGGTTCAGGTGTAAGAATGACTCTGATAGCTTGGGAAGCTGGAAAGGAAGTGGCCGCCGGGTGGTGGTGGTGATGGACAAGCGATTTCGGCCATTCAGGCTGAGTGGGTGCCGATTACGGGAGAATGTACAAAGCACACGCGAGACGACTGTGGAAAAGCTGGCATGGCCCCCGAGTCCTCTGCCATTATGTATTATGTATAGTCGCCCTCCTCTGGCATGTCTATCTTGCCGAAGGGGGATGTCAAAAAAGCAAATCTCCGCTCTTTCCCATTTCACGAACCTGGCGATTCAATCCTTGCATTTATTTGTTCTCTGTTTTCTTCTCGTCGAGTTGCATTAGTTGATCTTGTCAACAGAGACGTCACCTCAGGTGCTGCGCGGGCCAACCCACTCTGCTGCTGCTCGCCGATGACGGAAGGGTACTCTTCTCGTCCATCAGACACGCTGCTCCTTGTGAGGGGACTCTTTCTTCTTGCCTCCTCCGCAATGCTTTTCCTTTCATGAAATACGCAGTCGGTTAATACCAAATGGCTAGCCTAGCAAGAGATTCAGCAATTCTGAACTGCTTATTAACAACTCGCGTATCGAATCAACCATAGATGAAGTTTACGGTACCCGAGTCCTGATGGCAGCCACAGCATTTGACATCGTATGTACCCCCCTGTATGATATGAACTGCAGATGACTTCAGCCCATTCTGCATTTCGGTGAAAAAGTCTATTTCATGCTCTCATTCCGCTTACATGATCATGACCACCACACCACCGTGAGTTCATGCCCGTGGCCGAAATGCAAATCACATCAGAAGTCCGCCCCTTCCCTCTGGGAAAATTGCTTTTCTTCCGCATTGCATTAAGGGCCCGTGTCCCCTGTGTTTTGTGTTAACAAAAGTCATCAATCGCCCTAAGCAGCCAAGTGCTTCTCCAGGTCCGGTCCCGCCCAAGTTGCTGCTTCTTCTCACATGTCGACCGTCTCGTTGAATCGTAGAATGCCGTTCGTCTTCATAACCCCGCTGACGCCCTCCGGTATCATGGCGAAGCCCGAGCCCTGCGCTTGCCCTGGCAAGTGAGACTGCTGTTGGGCCCCACTATCGTCGTCCGCCGAGGCATCAGATACAAGCACTAGCCCAGCCTGTTTGATGGTTTCCGTCAAAGCAGGCACCATCTGCAAAATCCGTGAAGAGCAGGTCAACCCCATGAAGTTGTTTAGCTGTGCCAAGCGCGCAGACTCCTTGATTGACGTCCCCCGTCGAGAGGCTGGTTTGAGCAGATTTGCGGATGATTGGTAGGCGTTGTGCACGCCACCTAAATCGTTGCAGAGTAAGACCGGGAAGTTTGGTTGCTTCCAGTTCAGGGCGGTACAGACGTTGCTGTTGAATGAAGAGAAGACAATGGAACGAGTCAGGTCTGCGGATTGGGCGCGCAAGGCTCTCGCGTGATCAAAGACTTCGGTCAGAATCGCATCCGCGAAGGTGTTGATGTCAATGTTCGAATAGACGCCCAGATTGAGATCCTCATGGTTTGTCGGATAAAGCACGTGCAGATTGAGGTTGATGTGCGGCGGTACCGCTGTTAGGATCTCGTGGAGGGCAAAGACTGAGCCAGACAGGCGGTCTCGCCATTCGATGATATCCATGCTTTCCAGTATCGGCGTCCCATCGCTATTGAGAAGGCCGCTAGCCATCCCAAGTTTCATCAGGACTTCGTATTTGAGCTGACAGAGCGAGACGTCGAGGCTGTTGTATGTCACAAAATAAGATGGATGGCTTACTGGAATACCGTCCCGGGTAAGCTGTATCGTTAGTCTGAGGTAGTCTCCAGAGAGACTCGAGCCTGTCACAAGTCCGCCGTGATCGTCTAAGGCGCTCGTGGCCTTCCAGTATGGTGCGAACTGTGTAATCTCAAGCGGAGTACCCTTGTACGGCTTGATGACTTGGAAATCGAACTGTATCTGACCCACCGACCGAAGCCGCGGGTCAAACAGTGGAAGACAACACGTGCCAGCGCTGCTCTCGATGGCGCGAAAAACATCCGGAAGGGCGACCGACTTGGCTATCACTTTGGATCCAAAGGTCGGGTAGATTTCGAAATCCACAGAGAAGGCGCTGAGATTATCCACCTGGAAGTAGACAGACCTAGCGTCCTCCTGTATAGGTAGCATCAAATTGCGAGGAATGAGGTCGGACGTCTTCGAAGATATGGTCAAGCGAGCGGCAGGATACCTTGCTTCATTGAAGAATTGTATAGCTTTCGACGTACGGTCAAAGTTGAGGGCAATGAAGGTTTTCGTGTCGAGGAAGTTATGTCCATAGCGGCGCAGAGGTATAATTGGTGGCGGCAGCGACAGATCAGGGATACCATCGGCATCAGCTCCTGTAGGCTCTTCTGGGGTGATCTCCATTGCGAGCATCTGGCTATGAGGAGGGACCACTGCTCCTAGCATCGTGGAAGACCTGCGTTCGGCCCGGTGATGGCTGCTCTGCTCCCAGAGAAGTTCCATACATTCAAGGTGACCTTCCCATGTCGCATAATACATTGCTGTAAGGCCCTTTTCGTCCAGCGCCTCGGGATCAGCACCATTTTCGAGCAATACCCGCAAGCACTCGACTCGACCTTCGCTTGCGGCATGAAACAGTGGTGTCCATTGGTACAACTTATCGCGCTGGTTCAGATCTGCTCCATGTTGTCGTAGAATCAGAAGAAGATCGGCTTTTTGGCTCGATCGAGCCACGAGATGTTGAGGGAAAAGGCCTTCTGCATCAGGAAGAAGTTTTGCGTTTCTTTCTAACAACAAGGTTGCAACTTCGATAGACCCATGCTGACAGGCCAAGTTCAAGGGAATATGATCTGCGTCAGATTGTGGGTCGATCCGTGCATTGTTTGCGAGGAGAAGGCGAACACAGTCGACCCGGTGACGGACAATGCTGTGGATCAACGGCGTGAAGTTGTCATGATCCTTCATGTCGATTGTGTTCGGTCCTGCTGCCAATAATTTCTCGACCATTGCAAGTCGTCCTCTCAGGCATGCATAATGCAACGCTACCCTACCATAAACATCCAAACGGGTCAGATCAACTCCATGATCGAGACCATAGTCCAAAACAATATCTTTGCCGTAAATTGCCGCTTCGTGCAAACAATTCCGTTCGTTAATGTCATCTTCGGCGTGAATATCGACCAGGCCAGAGTTCAGGAATAGAATCAAAGAATCATCAGGTGCCTCAGAGATGGTAGCGAGGAATATCCTAGTGAAACGGTCGCGTGCGTCTAGAGAGTTGCCTAGTCTGGCAAACCATTCGCGTAGGGCGCCAATGTTGCCAGCGGCAGAGGCTTGGAGAATCTGAATGTCAATGTCACTCTCTTCGGTGCCCACGCGTTGTCCAATCATGCGATCCTGTTGCCTAGAAACCTCATACTGAATATTCTCGCCCTCAGCCCATGCCTCCAAATCGAGTCTCGCTGTTGTGGCTCGGTCTGAGAGATCCCGAAGCACGTCGCGGTTGAAGCATGGCTGGATTTCGACAGCTCGTTGCAAGTATATCTCTTTCGTTCTTGACTGTCCTTGTGTCAGCTCAGACCAAAGTTGTGGTTATTGATGGTGGTCCACCTTTGACGTTTTGTCCCACTACAGAATATCAGCCCCTGATCGAAAATAAGTGATAGGTCAAACAGACCTTTTTCAAAATTTTTGAAATTGCGGTTTCGTTGACTTCGACAAATTGCTGTGACGTGTCAGCTAACGGATCTCCTGTCGAGGATATTATTTTCACACTTGAAGTTTGTTGAGATCATTGTCAAACTGTTGAAACCCCTCGACTAACGTCGCGAAACTAGCAGAGAGTCTGGAGCTGGCTGCTATTCTCGCTTGTATGACTCGTTTCTTGTCAAGCAATGTCTTTAGACGAAGCGAAAACTGGACGAGGTCAGAGACCAGCTTCCCCTCAGATGGTTTTCCATACCTCTGCCTCTTTTTGGAGGTAAAACACGTTGACTTTTTCTATCTCACGTTCCTACAATTTTACATCAGACGGGGTGAGAAGCACGGAAGATGGTTATGCGCCCACCAGCCGAAAAAAGAAGACCTCTTTATTCGCTCTTAGAGCAGCCTGTGCGTCGAGGGTTGCGGGACCTCCTTGCGCACTGATGGTAGGTGTAGCACTGAGTTGCTTGATGAGCTGGAGGGCATAGTGAGCAGCGTCTTCTCTAACGAATACATGAACTTTGCCACACCCTTTTGAGAGCCTTGTAGTTGAGGAAACTGGCTGCATATTCAGGCAGATCTAACTGCTGGCGTTGGATTTGTTTTCCGAATTTCCTGATCAGATTAGTGTCAGGCACCACAGGAATCGAAGGGAACTTACATGTTTGAAAGTGTGAGAGTATAAAAAGGATGACTTGAAAGCCGCTATTACGGAATAGAATCAGCCTCGACAAGGCTCTTGTGTTGCCCCTCAGCAGGCGACACGTTTCCGAGAGTGCTAGCGAATAGAAAGACCCCTTTGCGATGGTCGAAGGTGCAGTATATTGGACATCGGGCGAGCAAGAAGCGGTGGGAGGTGGCCGTTCAAGGCGAGGTTAGAGTGGTGGAAGGTTCCTTCTGCGAGTTGGACGTGTTTAATGCGAGCTGGATCCCATGTCGAAATTTTCGGTACCAAGGGATCCAGATGTCAGGCTCGGGCCAAAGGTCGTTTAGGGCTCACAAGACCGCACAAGAGCGTGCGTTCGTGCAATGGCAAAAGGACCAGTTGGGGAAAAGAGTGCAACAACCGAGTTGAGATGCGCCTGGCGGAAGGAGCGAATCAAGAGACCCCAATCAAGCACGCGGTGCCTCGGAGAGCAGTCGTGACACTGTCAGATGGTTGGAGGAGACGCCTGTAACCTTGCTGAGAGCTAAGACTCCTGTCTGGTCACGACCTCAAGTTGGAGTGAAGACAAAGATGGGACGAGACAACGTGGTCCGCGCATAGCACCTGGCCTTTCTCATGGAATTGTGCTGGGACTTCTGCATGTGCCCGACTTGTAATTAGATAGCTCGATGGATCAATGATTGCACTAATGTAGCAGTTTTCGGCCGCATTTCATGCAGTGCGCGTGAAGCCAATCAGAGCTGTCCTAGAGACTGGGGCTTGGCACTATCAAGATTACCGGCTTGGCACTCTTGGCACTCTCCCTCGCTGTGAACGGCGCTTGGTGGCCCCCCTCTGCCATTTGCATTCTTTGTGTAACTCAAGCCTGCTCATCTGCTCAGCCTTGCATTGGGATTTGCTGAGCCTCAGCTCCTGTGTACAGTTGCCGAAAACAGAAGGCTATCTTTCCTATTGTCTTCACATGATCTATCTGTATATTGCGGGGGAAAGTCTCGAATCTAGCCTTAAGCGCATGCGCTTGACAAAGACCCTTTGTTCAAGTCTCTCTCATTGAAGGCTGTCTGTGACAAGCCCTATTCCGCCGCCCTCGTCGTGGTATTCGAGATCCAAGGGAGTGGTCGCTGATTGTTGATCGCTCCAACCCGTCGTTCGCCCTTCGATGACGCCAGTTCTTTGCGAATGTATCCCTTGAACAGTCGGAGCACAAACGCACGGCCTGTCAACCGCATCACCCACAAAAGAAAAGAAAGAGTATACTGCTAGTTTTGCTTTGTTACTTCCTTGCTATTTCTTTCCGCCATATCTCCTGTATTGCTTTGCCTTGAAAGACTGAAGACGTTTGATGCCCACAGCTGCAGGTACAGCAGAACACACACTACAGGACGCGGGCCGTGTCCGCAACCATGGCTCCCATACCAGTTCATACTGCCTCGCCAATCAACACCAACCTGCCTTCGAATCCTTTCGGCGTTTCCCAACCTAGCTCTGCGGCAGGTCGATATATACCGATTGACTATGAAAGGAGGCCGACCTCTACAGAGCCTTCTGACTCCTCGTTCTTGCAGCAGCCTGCGCGACGCGGCGCACTAGGGGTCCCGCAACCAACCAACACACTAGCGAGCAGTTACAACAATAGATACGAAGCGACACCCACTTCAAACAGCGCCGCAATCACATCGGACTACAGCCCTCCAGCACCGCAGCCAGGCGCAGTCCCCTCGCCATACGCCAGTCCTTCACCACGCCCAACCGTACCCGTTCCACCACGTCCGCTCGAAATCCCTCAGCACCAACAATGGATGCCATCTCACGCATCACCACAGCGCCGGACTGTCATCCCTTCACAAGAACAAACTCCCACACACTCCCACCCGCTGCCCGTCCATTCCCACTCATCCACCATCTACACGCCGTACACACCTACCCGCTCCATCCCACCTGCAGGCGTAAGTTCCGTCGACACAAGCCCCAGTTACAGCTACCCGCAACATGAGGATCTCTCCCATCCCCCGGGTTATCAACAAGACCACCACAGCTCCTTCGACGACAAGCCCATTGAATCATGCCGAGAGAACGACTACCGCGCCACCCTTTCCCCACTGCTATACTCGAAAAGAGGCGGCATTTTGGATGGAGAATGGGGGCTCGGCTCGTCGAACAATGGTGATTCGGATAGTACTGTGGTAAAGACGGCCATGTCGTGGGCGAAAGCTGCGGGCAAAAGACTGAGTGAGACGGAACGCCAGATTTGGAAGCACATCAATGGAGACGATGATGCTTGACCGAGCCAGAAGCCACGCAGAAAGTGTATTAAGCCTTCTTTCGAATCGGATGGGACGAGAATGGAATAGTGTCGACGGGCAAACGGTCCAACACAAGGCAAGGAAGGGCAAGGAAAGACAGACACGAATAGAACAGAGGCGCAGGACGTATACCCGGAGCTCAATTTGGCGAATGGCAGATTTTCACAAAATCCGAATTGGGATAGGTGGGGGGGCACATCTCTTCGTTGCTGTTTGCCAGCAGTATTAGCCATAAGTTGTTAGCACTGGAATTGGCGCCGCTATGGGGACTGGGATTGGGCACTCATTCAGCATCTAGGACACTGTAGAACATCATTCGCCCACCAAATCAATCAATTGCGAAAACAACACAATTGCTTCATGAAAAGAAAAAAGAAAAAAAAGGGAAGGACAGGCATACGTGCACATGCATGCATGCATACATTCCTAGGTACGAGGTACGGAAGTACATATCATTGGGTGGAGTGAGTGGATCTAGAGCCCCCAAGCGCACTAGGAGCGCAACTGCAGGCGCCGAGGGGATCCTACAATACAAGGAGATTGACGGATGAAAAGGGAAAGAGAATTAAGAGGACTCCGGGATAGAGGAAGCGAGATGTTTTGCAAAACAAACCAGGGCAGTAAAGTACAATTGCAGACCGGGGTGAGGAGGAAACGAAAGGATGTTGTTGTAAAGCAAGAAACCCCATCGCATATTGTGAACAAAACCCCAACGAGTTTCAACGTGGCCATTTTCCCTCGTCAATCCCCGTTTGTGTCGTCTCTATTTGCAAAATGTGTTTCGTCTCTCTCGACTCGGCCCCCAGCCCTGCTGCTCTTGCGAACACCATGTCATCGTACAAACTCGCACCACCTTTTGAGCCTCCCAACTGAAGGCGCGCTATTACACCACACTTCCCCTGTTACACCATTTTGTGTGATTGAAGTGTCGCTTGTCGGGATCGTCGCAGTAAAGTGACGAGGCGCTTAGCCGGAACCGCCCTTGAACTTCTTGCCAAACATGAGAAGTTGGACCTCTGTAATGTTTGTTAGCACGACACACACAAGGGATGGGGATCGGATCGGAACGTACGGTCGTAGATGGAGAGCACACCGGCACCAGCAACACCACGGAGAATGTTGGCACCAGCACCCTTGAAGAAGGATCGGATACCCTCAGCAGCCATGATTTTCTGGGCAGCATCGAAGGAGCTCTTGTATTTGACAGCCTGCACGTTTGAGGTCAGACTAGTTCGGGGCTCACGGAAGACAGTGAAACATTGACGACAACTTACCTCACCAGACGTCATCATCATGCGACGACGGATGGTGTCAAGAGGGTAGGAAGCGATACCAGCACCAGTGGTGACACCCCAGCCGAGCAAGAACGAGGCCAAGAAGTTACCCTCAAGGGGACCGACTAAGAGGACCGGCTTGATGGAGTCGTACATGCCGAAGTAGAGACCACGGTAGACGACGATACCAAGGACGGAAGGACCGAAACCACGGTACAGGCCGGCAATACCATCGGAGGCCAGAGTCTTGCGGTAGACATCGACGAGACCGTTGAATTGACGCTCACCACCCTTGGAAGCAGATTTGGCATCGTTGGCGAGACGAGTACTGTGGGGAATTGTATGAGCAGACCACGCAAAATACAACCAAGATGCACGAGACAACATACCGGGCATAATCAAGAGAGTAGACGAAGAGGAGGGAAGTGGCACCAGCGGCACCACCAGAGGCCAAGTTACCGGCCATCCACTTCCAGTATCCATCACGGTCTTTCTTGAAGGCAAACATCGACTTGTAGGTGTCGCGGAAGGCGAAGTTGAGCGCCTGGGTAGGGAAGTATCGGATAACGTTCGCAGTGTTACCTCTCCACAGAGCCATGACACCTTCGCTCTTCATGGTTCGGCTGAAGCAGTCGATAATACCATTGTACTTGCGGTCAAGACGACCGGCTTTGATCATTTCATCCTGTATGTTATTGTAAGTTTTTGCGCTCAACCCAAGTCCATGCGCAGCGTTATCATTGCGGTGGGCACGTTTTGATAAGAAAATATTTTCAACCACGGCCGGCGAGGGCCTTTCTGAGGTGGGAAGAGGCGTTCGATGGCTCCTGGAGATGTGTTCGATGGGATGGAGCAGGCAGGCATACCTGATTTTGAATCAAGAGCTTGACACGCTCAATGGGTGCGGCGGCAGTTTTCTAGAAATATTTTGTCAGCTTTAGGTTCCTATTGAACAGCTACCACAACTGTCGCGGCACTCACTGAAATAGCGGCAGAAACACCACCCATCAAAAAGTCGACCACGAATCCTATGCTCCGAATCAGTGCCTGTTGGCCATGACTTCACATCTTGTCCAATCGTCGAGCAAAGTCCGAGGAGCTCATCGAGCCCAGGACATTGAGATCAACAACAGAGAGGCCTTACCGGGCATGCCGAATATCGTCTTGGCCCCTTGATCCACGTCTCTAGATGACAAGAATCAGCTTCTGTATATCCAGGTTTAAATGAGATCCTCGGGAGCTGCCCGTGCAGCTCAGGGAGGCCGCCGGGTGACGACACGAGGTGAAGGGGGGTGTGCATTGACAGCGGAAGGAGTTCAGACTAACCCTTTGGCCATCTTGACGGCGGTTATGAAGAACTGAGGACTATGATTGAGCGGAGAGAAGGGAGGAAAGTGATGGGTGGACGCAAGAAAAAGATGCGAAGATGCGAAAAAGAGAGATGGAGGAAGTTCAGAAGCGGACAGGTATTTTTCAAAGGGAAGGGATTGGGAGCTCGGCTGGTGCTAAACCCGATATGGCAAGGCCCGGATCTCTCTCAGCGCAATCATCACTGTCGGTTGCTGTCGCTTTTCCCGAGCCACCAGCGAAACCTCAGCGCTTTCCGCCCCGGGCAATTATCGTCCGCAATCAAAAATTTTGTCTCCGCTGAGCGAAAAAAAGGGTTGCTCACTGCACAGCAACCGGCTCGCCGGTGGCCCCTATCGCGCTTGCCTGGGGGGAGGTGACAGGCTCTGTCCAGCCACTGGACGGCTGTCTCGGCTGCCTAAACAATTTTCTCAAACGTGCCCATTCTTCCGCCCATTTTGCCGGAGAGCTGTTTTGCTCCCTCCCAACGATCCACAGCCTCTCCAGAGATCTTCACTGAACCTTAACCTTGCCGCACGAGGCTCTTCGATGATACGAATAAGAGCTCATATTTTATGTGGTACCCCAGCTCAAATTAGGAATCGTGAGGATGGAGCCTCGCAGGTACTGGAAAACTGAAACTCGTTGACCGAAACACAGGCGATTGGCCCAAGTCGCATTTGCAGCAGTGCCATGCATCACAAAAAAGAAGGGTGGCAAGGCTGAGAGCCATCCATCGCGCTGGGCTAGATTTGTTCCCCTTTTTTCTCCCGAGGTCCAGACACTCAAAGACTCCATATCGATCTCCACAACATTCTTCAAGCAACACCATCAACCTCTGTCTTTGGTGTCTTGCCCCTTCTTCTCTTCCTTTTCTTCTTTGCCTCTGTTCTAACATCTACCCCAGCTTCATCCCCTTCGGCTCTGTCATTCCCGACCTCAGGTTGTGCAGGAATCAGGTTGCTGGCCTGCAGTCCTTCCTCATCGCCAAAGGTCTCCAATCGCCACTTCCTTAACCGCGCCTTCTTTCCCAGGTTCTTCATGTCCTTGCGTTTCTTCTCCGGATCGCGGAATGATGCCAGTTTCTTCAGCCCGACAAATTCATTCAGTTGCTTGTCGTCAGCTAAAAGGATGTCTCTTGCAGTCAGGCCAAAACTTTTGGGAGACGTCTCCCGGTAAGCGAAGCCACCCGTTTTCTTGTTGGGTAGAGATGAGTTCAACTCCAATTGTAGTTGGTCGGCCACCAATTGTTCAATGATCCGCCGTTCTTTTTTGGCGTCCCGCTTGCTTTCTTCGACAGATTTTTTGGCTTTCTTTTTCTTTGTGGGAGCTTCTTCATCAGTGAGACTGAAGTCCGCCTTATCCCCTTCGTCAAAATCTGGCACTATATCTTTGATGTCGATGTCGTCATCAAATTTAGGTTTACGAGGTTTCCGCTTCGTTGCGCCTGTCTCATCCTCGCTCTGGACCTCTTGCTCAGCGTAGTATTCATCACCGAAACGCTTGTGCATTTCCTCCTCCCATTTGGCGTCGTCCCAATCGTCATCGACCAGGTGAGACCAATCCTCGGGTCGCATATCCTGGGTTCTGATACCAGCGGCGCGCGTAATTCTGCGCACCTTCTCTTCAAGCTCCTCGATCTTCAATTTGCGGAGACGGGCTTTCTCTTCTTTTCGCTGCTGCTTTTCAGCTTCTTTCTTTGCCTTCTCGGCTTCTCGCTTCTTTTGTCGGGGGTTCGCCTCTTGTCTCCGGACAGAATATTTGGCAGCCAAGTCTCTCGCATGAGAACGCAGTGTCTCGTTTGATTTTTCCGGATCTTCGAATCGAAGATTGTAAGCCTCTTCAAACTCTTCCGCTCTTCTGTCTTCTTCGTCGTCATCCGACTCGAAAGGGTGCAGATTGGAAGGGTCCGGGGCTGCCCAGGCCCGTGAGGACATGAAATTTGACAAGAAAGTTTCAGGATCTTTGTCAGCGTTCTCAACGTCCAACACAACGTCTGGCTTGAATTTCATTTCCCCGGTCTTTGCAATGAGAAATTTACCATCACCATCGTCCTCGTCCTCGTCCTCGTCCGCTGCGGCTGCGTTGATCTCTCCGATGATGGATTTCTTCAACTGCTCTTGCTCTTGGTTGTATGTCAGGGGCACGGTATCTTCCCCTTCCGCTTCAGCGTTACCATTTAGCAAATTCTGCCGGTGGTAGTCTCGCAAGTGCATCGGCTTCTCCTTCTTTGTCTTCGTCGCTGGCTCTCCTGCGTCATCGTCATTGGTATAGAATGTGGCAGACTGGTCGTAAACACGGGGGTCTTTCGAACGAATGGCATTGAGGGTAGCCATGATCTCCGAGTCAAGAGCTTCGGTGACCAATTCTCCTTCATCTTCAGATTCGCTCGTCGAGTCATCGTCCGAGTGAGGTCCGTCGTCGTCATCGCTGAGAGATTCGTTTTCGCCGCGTTTACGTTTGCGAGAAGTGGAGGATTTGCCGAGCTTTTCCTCTACTGTTGAGAAATGTCAGATCAAACATGTTCCCCGTAAACAGACAGAGAAAGAGGTGTACATCTCTGTAATTCCTCTCGTTTCTTATTATGTTCGAAGCGGCGGGCATATGCCTCGTTGACTTTGAGCTCGCTACTAGGTCCGCCATCTCCGCCTCCATCTTCACCGTCGGACGAATCGAAACTTAGCAAGTCGCGGGCCATGGTCCGGGAGGGAGGTCTGGGTTGGAAAATAGAAATTGTATCCCTCCACCACGTAGCGGTTTAGTTTTGTTGGTTTGGTCTCGAGGGTTTTTCGAAAATTTCTCCGCATACCCACCAGATGAGATGTTCCAGAAAGGCTTGGCGTGAATCTCCGCCTCTGGTCGCCTTCCAGCGAGGCTGCCAGGCTTTCCAAGGCTGTCACCAAATTCTCTTGACTCGAAGACTTCGTTATCAAGAGATTGCCGTTTTCTCGAGTATTTTCGCTATCCGCTAGTGCAATCGCGAGTTCGAATCATGCCACGGGGGTAAAGGTAAGATTGAAACATCTGCTGGACGGCGGCAAAGTCAATCTGAATAAGGCGATGGTAATGTGGAAGGCAAGCTTCCGGTGGTTCATTCACATTAAATAGCAGTGATAGCGAAATTCAGATTTATCTGCAACTATTCCTTACAGGACTAACAGGCATCAAGGCGACAAATGGCGCTAGTGCGAGAGTCGTCTAGACCTCAATCGTTGTAGTAGGAAAATACCAATCTAGAGAGATCTCGGGTCGGAACATAGCTACTGTAGGTAGTCACCTAGGTATTTATACTGGTAAAAATATGCATCTCTAACAGGTCGTTTACATTGCATACGTACCTAGGTACATTATAGGTCGTTCTGCAATCACGAACGTAGATGGATCAAGAAGCTATTTATTTCTCAGTACAACAAAGAATGCACCAATGCTGACAATTTGAATAAAGTCGACTTCGATGACTCAAGACTCATCCAACGTGTGTTTTGCCGGTTGTTTTCTTGATCGCTGTATGAGATGATGACCGAGAGGGCAATGGCAGGGCATCCAATGAGGTGCGCTGTCCTCGAACCTATGATGGTTCATCTTGGGCGTGGCCTATTTTCACCATGATCACGCAGACCACCGACACCAGCGTTTCAGAAGGAAAGTCGTGTTGCGTCGGAGCTATTCTCTCCGTCCAAAGGCATCTTATGAGATATAAGCCCATTAAGATTTTTAAGCGTTCTGGCTAGAGCAGGTGTGGTCGACCAATGTTTTGGTAGTCTTTCCAGCTTTGTTTAACGACAATAAACAAAGAGAGCGTTGAGCTCTACCGGGCAGACGGAACACCCGTGCCTCCATAGCTGTAGGTTGTTGCCAGGTCGAATCCGGCAGCACAGCATCACGCCTCATCTGAAAAAAACAATATTTGCAATCAACATTCTGAGCGCACCATCTTCTGGATCCACAGATTACCAGGAGCTCGAAGCCAGCAGAGGATGCCTGCCGTTAAGGCCACAACTGTAGTGTCCCGCTGAAATCCAGAATTCACTGAATGTCGGATGTCTCTTAGGGCTCGTCTTCCCAGGCAATCAGATCCATCCACTGGGAGTCCTGTAACGAGCTTTCGCTCGCTTACTCAAGGAGCTTGATCTTCCGTTCCTATTTGTTGTCAGGATCAGTAGCACTGCGCATATTCAACATCAAAATGACACTAACCAAGCCTTCTTTGTCACGCTCGGCTTTGAGGACGGAATTCTTGAGGTAGTCAATATATTGGCACTAAACTCACTGTCAAAATGCGACATTCTCAACCACTGTGCACGCACTCACCTTATGAGACAGTTCCTGCTTCAATTCTGATACCTGCGATGATGGGTCAAAACCTTACGAACTCATTCCTAAAAGTGGGCCCACGAACCCTTCCGCTAAGGCTTGATCCAGTTGCATGAGAGGGGTGTTTCTGCCCAAGCCCGTAGCTAGCGACATTGTCTCCTTGCGTGAGACTCGAAGGTGAGGTGTCGTCCTCTCCAGGATTCAGATGCCAATTACCGGAAGCATCCAGAAAAGTGGTGGCACTCTTCGGATTACGTATAGTACAGAGATCTGGGCGGATGTTGTTGCGATGTTCCCTTTTTTTCACTAATCAAGTTAGCACGAACATTACCCCTTGAGAGCAGGAGAGTGGATTTTTAGTACTGTTAAAATACTCCTTGAGTCGGCCCTGATCAATTGTCTGCTGGCCATCAATGCCGTGCCATTTCGTGTAGTGACTTATATAGCCTTCCAGCTTGTCATCACGGAAAGTTGAGGTACAGCCTGGCATCTGGCATGGTATGGGTAAACGCCAATGACGATGGAGTTCAGACTCTCTTTTGAACGTGTTCCGACATCCGGGGCATTGGAGGACTCCAGAGCTCACAGATTCCTCACGTCCAAATGCACCATCCAGAGCCATTACATGGTGCGCTCCATGAAACATATCTGACATTTGTGAGGCGAATGCGGGTGGGCGCTCTGAAAAGGCGAGTGAAGCGTTGGATCAATTGACTGGAACAGATTCTCAGCTGTCGATAAGATGCAACCAGACCGGTTTGATCGAGGTTGAGTATAGAGGCATGGTCGAGGAGATCAATGTTGCGGTGTCGGTGAGGCGCCCTCATCGTTACGGGGTTGGCGAAGTGCTTCCTGTATATTTTCGGCGCCGACGACCTTGGATAATCAAAGGTAGAGTGCCTCATGGTTTCGCAAGGAGGTTCGGGGTCATGTCAAGGCATGACCGATCTAGCATCAGCGTGTTCGACATGCTGAGTACTCGACAAGGGTAGCAAGAGCGGCCGAAAGGGTTGTACGGGTGTGACGAGCCATGAAAATGATTGAAATCAAGGCGACGATGAGCAGCGACAGGAAGGTAAGTGAAGTACGGGAAGGGAGGCACTCGACAAGAGAGCTAGAGTTCAACAAGTGGATTGAGGAGAGAATGGCTAGCCGCTAAGCTGGTGTGAGGGTCGGCTTCACCCGTCACGAAACCATCTTACCGGCAACGAATCCAGGCCAGTGCTCCAACGCATATCATTTAGCACTTCTTCGGATTTTTTTAGGACTCATTTGCTACCATGCGAGTGCAGCACACCCTATTTTGCAGCTGGCAATCGACCTGGCAGGATGATTACCAGGGCCGGGAGATCGTAATGTAACCGAAATACAACGAGAAGCCGAGGACCCAGTACAGCGGGATCAGGAATACCTGTGAAGAATCTGTTTGGAGTCCTTGGGGATATTGGCTGGTCGATTTCCACGACATCTCACCCAAGATGCCCAAGATAAACAGGTCAGATGGCGCAGAAATTTGGGACGGATGGAGGGGGGGCTAGTGAGACCCTCGCGTCCAAGGAGACCATCTAGGGCAGGACGGCCATATCTGAGCATCTGGGGGTTCTTCGAGGAGCAAGATCCGAGCAAGGATAACGGCACAGGTCTGGTAGTCCGTAGGGTCTGTTTAACAGCACTTACGGGAGAGAGATGGTTGGCTTTGACAGGGGAAAGTCGAGGGCGGAAACATCTGGGAGGTTCAATGTCCATTTACAGGACCCCCTAGAGGCCTATACACGCGCCTATTCGCTCAGTCGCTAACCGGTGTAGAATTGGCAAACATGTTCACCGGTTTCGCTTAGAATTTATTAGCCAGTGGGAGTCCTTGGAACTTCAGCTAGTGGTGGACGTCCTGCAGTTCAGGTGATTGTGAAGGAGCGTCACCCTTGCGTGGCGGCTTCATAAGCCTGGTGAGAGAGCCCCGACCAGCCTATAGCATTGGGCACCGAGAAGGCAACCACCGACGGCCCTCCCACCCCCAAAGGGAAAGATGGAAAAATATTTGGGGTGGTAGTTTCTCCGCAGTCGCCGCCAGACATCTTGTACTGTAGTTACCGTACGAGGTTCCGTAGTTGGCTGCGCGACTTCATTCCATCGAAACGCGACATCGTATGTGAACTTTCTACCTCGCTCATTTCCTAGCACATTGCACTCTGCACCGTTCATCCCTGATCATCTCGCTATATCTCATTGCCTCGGCCTTGATTTGGGGGCCGTTCTCTGCTGCACGCTCTCTGCCAGGAGCGCTGGCGCAGAGATGAAGCTCAGTGCATGATTCCGCTGAAACTTCAGTGACTCCCGTCGCACAACGACGCGACCATGGCGCAAGCATCGCACCTGGCCGAGCAGGTAGGAAGACTGATCAATCTGATACCGGTCAGCCTGAAGGAAGCCGCTATCGATTCGCCAACCGCCCGCGCCACAGTTGTTCACTACGGAGAGCAAGTCGATCTGCTAGAGAAATGGCTCGACGACTATGCCAAAGCCTCCACTAGACTCGTCGCCGAATGCCTGACCCTCGAGAATGTCCTCAACAACTTCATTGCGCACTCCGCTCTTCCCACGACCATCTCCGAGTCCATGTTAGATCATGACTACAGCGTCCTGGCTATGAAGAGGTTCACCGATGGGGCCAAAGACTATTGGATGAGCATGATAGCAGTGGTCAAGAGATCGTCTACCATGGTCGTTGATCCCATAAGACAATTCCTCCAGAATGACCTGCGGCCATTCAAAGATGCTCGCCGAGCGGTTGAGGCGACCCAGAAAACTTTTGAACATCTTCAGGGCAAATACGCTGGGCTAGGCAAATCCAAAGAGCCGTCGTCGCTAAGAGAGGAAGCTTTCCAGCTGCACGAGGCGCGCAAACTTTACATCAAGGCCATCATGGACTTTTCTAGTATGGCTCCACAGTTTCGCTTTGCACTGGACAAGCTGCTGGTCAAGATCTTTTTTGACCAATGGCGCGAAATGCGGCTTTCGCGCGATAACACAGCTGCGACCTTCCAACGGAGTGCCGATGAGATGCAGAGAATCAAGAGTTGGCTGTCGGAATTGGAGACTAACGAAAAAGCCTTCCGCAAAGAGCTCATGACGGCGAAGAAGCAGCTGGAGGATGCTGCTGAACTCGAAACCCGACCGTCCAGAGAGTTGGAGGACTACACCCTGTCGACTGTCCCTCAATTTGCTGGTCATGGCCATAGCGCCAGCACTTCGACCCTGCAACGCTCACCGAAGAAGACAACTTCCAACACTGGCGAGAAGCAAGGTTGGCTGTTCCTCCGAACCTACAGTGGAAAACCCACCCGGACTGTCTGGGTAAAGAGGTGGGCATTCGTGCGCAATGGAGTCTTCGGCTGGCTGCTACAAGGTACGAGGGGAGGAGGTGTGGAGGAGAGTGAGCGTATTGGTGTTTTACTCTGCAATGTCCGCCCCGCGCCTGCCGAAGAACGTCGTTTTTGCTTTGAGCTCAAGACAAACAGAAACACGATTATCCTGCAAGCAGAAACACAATCAGAGCTGGTTGAATGGATTGATGCCTTCCATGTTGCCAAATCGAAGGCAGTTGATGACGGAGATGGTCTCAGAAGCTTCACTTCTGGCACTGGGAACATTCAAGCTGGTGCCGCGTTTGCAATAAGTGCACCGCCAATCCCTGAATTCGGCGCTTTTATCCTTGGATCAACAGAACCGGGTGCCGTTGGAGAGGATATCGCTGCTTTGGAAAAGACGAATACCCTGCCCATTCCAGGGGCTGAACATGGGCGCGAGAGCAGTGTGGACTTGCATAGAAGGTCGACTGTTTTGGACGATGGTGGTCATCGTGACACTGCCTCACGCATCATTTCGAAACTTGATTTGCACAGGAAGAGTCCAGCTCCGACCCTGGTTTCCCCCAGTCCGTCAACACCGACCCTCCCGGGTGGCATTGCGGGCTTGATTGCCGCTACTCATGGTTCCATGCCTGCTGGTTCGAGTGGCCCTGTCCTTCAAAGCGTCGAGAGTGAGTTTTCCAGGCAAAGGAGTACATTTACGCTTGCCCTTCGAGATATGCCTGCCAGCAGTCTTGCACCTTCCACTTTGGCTTCGGTACCGTCTCCTACAAATTTGAGCAAGTCAGCGGTCATCATTACAGGGGAACGTGGTTTAAGCCCTGCTCCGGACAAGACTGGACTCCCCACCAGTCTTTTGGCCAACACCTGGGGCACTTCTTGCACGGCTTTCTTGAATCGACTTGAACGAACCGACTCGACCGATAAGACCGAAGTTAAACTCCTGGCACAGCGAAGCCCAACTCTTGAGCCATCGTATTCACCTCCAAAAATATCATTCACACCCACCCGGCCGGCTATTCCTCCACAAAACAGCATTCCCCAGCTTGACCTGAGCGTACCTCAAGCAACCACCCGAAGCCGGACTCCGTCGCCGAGCAAGAGGCTGCACAGGAGCACGATAAGTGTGGATCGCGACACAGCCAAACAAATTAATAGCGACCTTCTTGTGCCTGACTTCCCTAACTATTATCCTCTGCAACTCAAATCTCAGGACGCGCAATTCCGTCTTCTGTTCCCCAATGTAAGGCGCGACGATAGACTAGTCATGGTTTTCAGAGCTACCTGGAATCCAAGCGAGCAACAAGAATTTCCTGGCCGAGTATACGTGACACCCAGGGATATCTACTTTTACAGCAATCATCTAGGCTTGGTCCTCACATCCAGTGTGCCTCTTGGATCCATTGACGAAGCTACCGCTGCCCCCGGGAGAGACTGCGACTTCATCTTCTTGCACCTCAAGGACGCTGCAAGCGACGCCGGTGCACGACGAATCACAATCAAAACGTTTCTAGAACCCTTGAGACTTCTGCAAAGGCGCTTAAACTTTTTGATAAGAAACAATGCTTCCGAGGAGCCTCTCGCTCTAGAGGGATTGATGAGGGCATTGATCAAAATGGAGACCGAGGCTCCTGATCGGAGTCCTAGTCTGGAAAGCTGGGAGGATGTGTCTCCAAATACGCCCGTCGACACCGGCGGACCTAGGTATCGAGGCAGGGCGTCAACCGTTGGGACCGAGTTAAGAGGCCCACTGCGAGTTGACCGTGCCCTTCATCAGACCCAGTTGGGACGCAGGGAATCGAAATTTAAGCTGCCTGCTCAACCTGTGAATTACACTCCCACTGGCAATCTTCGGCTTGCGGTCGAGAAAGAATTTGACATTAGCGCCAAGGCGTTATTCCATGTCATGTTTGGGGATAACAGCGCCCTGTGGCAACTGCTTCAGCATGAGAGACGCGCAAAGAACGTGTCCCAAGGACCATGGCTAAGCGTCGGAGAAGGACGCCTTCGAAGAGAGTTCACTTTCGAGACACCCACCAAAAATCTTCTCGGTCAAGAATCCTATGCACAAGTTCACGATTATCAAACGATCGATGTCAATAATGATCACTTATGCTACGTCATAACAGACAAGCGAACCCCATGGCATCTCCCTTACCAAACCAGCTACCGCCTCATTAGCAAAATCGTTATCACTCATGTTGCAAAGGCTAGATGCAAACTCGCGGTTTTTGTGAAGGTGGAGTGGTTGCGCGCAGCTTGGATGTTGGGAGGAGTTGTTGAGCGACAGGCCGTGTACGACCTCGAACTCGATTCTCAAGATCTCGGGGATCTTGTGGCGGACCAAGTCCGCAAGCTTGGACTCCACAGTCGCACTAAGAAAGCCATTCAGATCTTTGGTCAAGTTGGCCATTCGACAGAAACCACGCAGCTTCTGTTGGATGCAACGGCTCTAAGCATCGGCCTGAGGAGGCAGCCAATTTCCCGGACAATGACCGGACTGCTGGCCCAGAGCGCTGCCTCCACTGGAGAGAGCGCATTAGTTACTCTACTTCAATCTTTGCTGAGCATCCTGAGATGGTTTGCGAAAACATTATCCGCTAACAAACTCATATTGGTGGCACTTGTCTTTTCGGCATTGTACAATAGTTGGCACACATATCGAGACTCGCTTGACTGGTGGCATGAACGCAGAGCTGGGAACTTCATGGCTCGGCTAGGCATCTCGCCTAATACTGTCATGAGCAGAGCTGTGTATCTCAGTGATTTGGACGACATCCTAGGTCGGGAAGCAAATCTGCCGGCACGCGATTCTAGTGCCTGCTATAGTGTCTTCTATGACGAAAATGACCCGGAGTACTTCCAGGCTGAGCTAAGACACACTCCAGCGGCGAAGGTCCAGCAGACACGTCAACGACTCGGGACTCAGCGACATGACCTCCTCGTCGCAGTGCGCGTTGTCAACAGCATTGAGAAAGAACTGATGCAGGCCGCTTGGGAACAGTGGGTTGTGGATGAGCATCGAAGATGCCAGATCGTGGAGGGATTGGTGTTAAATGACCCGACGAAGAACTCTACGGACGTTGCAGATGACCTCAAACAGTGGTATGACGAATATTGTACCAGTTGCAATGATGAGTATATGAAGATCCGTGTCTGATATGAACGATGTACGGATTACTGATGATGGACAATGAAATTGGACAGCAACATTTGGTCTAAGGCCCTTGACCAAAGCTCGATACCGAAGTGCTTGAAGCGAGAGTCTGAAAGTCTAGCCTTACGGCACGATTAGGAGAACTCCACCTGCCGATGTATATATTTAAATGTCTATGGACTCGACCACCGGATTTTGACTATCACTATGCTTCATGATGGCGGTGCATCGCAACCCAGTAAATGGCTCAATCAGGATTGGTTCGTATCGCTTTCCTTTCTCGGGTCTATTCTCGAGATCGACTGACCACATGGTGTGGCTGATGGTTGTCACGCCTTAACTGAAACTCCACACCATAGCTGCTGGTATCCCCCTTTTTTCACCTTCTACCCCGAATCAACTTTACTCGAAGCTGCATGTTGATGAAGAGCTCAGTGTTCGCAGTGTCAGCGTAACAATGATTGAATAGCGAGGCCGCCTAGAATCGTTCAGCTAAGCCACAAGCGCTGGCTCTTGTTTTGCAGCAAAGTCCGCCGAGATGGGGGGAAAGAAAAGCTCCTGTGGGGTTGATTCCCACCTCATCTCTTATTTGCTGAAGCGTTGATTTTGCAGCTCTTTTCTGATCATCTCTAGTTGCATTCCAAAGTGCCACAAGTCTCAATGGCCAAAGTAAACGGACTCCATCTCTCCAGAGTCTTGGTGTTAGCCTCTGGGAACTGCCTGAGGAAGTGTCCGTTGAAAGGAGCAGAGGGACACAAGCAAGGATTTCGTCCGCGGCGCTTTGGACGGTCTCGACCCGAAGCTGGAATTGATCCTGCAGCGTCCTTGCATTCATATCAAGTGTCTCAATTTGCATCTTGCCCAAAAGCTCCAACAAAGTGAGTTGGAGCTTCAACCGAAATGCATGGAAAAATGTGCGGCAGCATAGAAGCCGAATGTTCAACTCAGAGTCAGCGATTGTCTCAGGCCCAGGGCTGCCGGTACTGACATCCCACGACTGCTGCATTTCCCTCTCAAAGCACTCGGCTTCGGCGAGTATTTCCATTGCAGCACTGGGCGGAGTGGTTGTCCATTGATTGACGATTTGTCGGATGCTCGCACAAAGAGTAGATGCACGGTGACCATATACGCAGAGCCGGTAAGCGGGCAATTCATCTTGCGTCAGGTCCTTTTCCAATTCCTGTAACCAGGTCGGAGACTCAGAAGGGCTTGCCGTGTTGGTGATGAAACATCTGACTTGCTGAGATTCCAATCAGCGACAAACGATCAAAGGACAATGGACTCACACGGTCACTTACTATTGAATTATAGATCAGCCAGAACAATCCACGTGCAAGGGGTGTCCTCAAGTGCGAAGTACCTCGCAGCCGGAGCAAACTCACCAGTCCTTGAGTATGGACGATCCAAGAACTAATTCCATGAGTGTCTGCTGAAAAGTCAAGGGGGTGGTTTCTTTTAGCTGGTGATACAATGAGCTAGTGTGATGTCGTCAGCTCTGGTCTCTTTTTATGCTCAAACACGCCCATGGATCAAAGGGCTGTATCCAGTAAGAGCGGATGATCTCGGCTATCATGGGCAAGTGTGGAACCATGAAATCATGCTCCTGGTAGCAGCAGAAGGTCCATCAAGAGTTCTTCTTACCTCATAGAGACTCAACAGCCACACGGACGCCAGGGTTTCGTCTTGCCTCTGCATGAGTGGATCTTCGAGAGCCATATTCGTTGCTTTCAAGGCTTGCCCATATGTCACCGCTCGCTTGGATCGCGTTTCAGGTGTGTCGACTTTGCTGGTGAGGAACGCATGCCCAATGGCTCGGCAAGCCAGCGCAATTGCGGAATCTTCCCCTGCGTCGGACAGCATGGAAGCCAGAAAGTTATTGTCGATCAATCCCAGCGTTGGATTATGTCTCTGAGGACAAGTGACATTGCTAAAGGCTAACGCACAGGCGCGAGGGTCCCAGCATTCTGCCAACTGGCGACTCGGGGATAGGTACCAGCCGGAGAAGACCACAATATCTGTCCGCGTTAGCTTGCAGTCTAGATTGGACTGGTTGCGGGGGATCACCTGGGTCGAGTTGCCCAGTAGGCGACGGTCTTGCGTTTTGGCGCCATTTCCGAGACCCCTCGCTAGACTGCGAGGATGATCGCCGAGTAGCTGCCTGGCATGGTGGACTGGGCCTTTTGCGACGGCGGTCTCGGTTCACGCCTTCGGCGAATGAAGTAGGGCTTTCAACGCGGAACATGAGGTCAACCTCATCCCGATATCCTGGACAACTCCTCCCTAAACGTATGCACCTGTTGCATTCCGGTTGGATCAAGTCGCACTGGGAGTGATTGTTAACGCAGGTACGAACATGGCATGTTCGAATGGATACTCACTTTCACCCGTCGTTGTCGGCACAGATGGCAATCCCTGCTTGGTCTCCCCACGTTCGGCATGCTGAACACGAGGCCGAGGAAACAATGTATACAGAGTATTTGGATTTTAATTTAACACTTCGAAGAGACTTCTGGCTACAGCCACCTTCATCTGAGCTGACCATGGACGCCATTTTATTCATTACCACCCTCGCAAAATGCACTCAATGTGTATACTTCAGGCTCGCAAGCTCAGTGGAGTCAGTAATGGCTTGGCGGTCAACAAGTCGTGGCTGTGAAGGCGAATGTTGACGGAAGCAAAAGAACCTAATCAGGCTCGAGAATGTTACTTGAATTGGATTAAAGCAGTGAAAAAGGTTGAATGCACTGTACACTTGTCTGACCAGGTCCAACAGCTAGGAACGATAAAATCCTCTCTACCTTGGAGAAATGAAAACTGGTCAGACGGTGCAACATTTTGGGCCAGTTGGCTTCGTCCACTCAATTGCCGAAGGTCACACTGGGGAGCGACCAATTCAGCGAGACGAAGCTGTGGACCTGCGTTTATCCACGCTTAGCTGTATGCGGTAATCCTTTCGAGCTGCGCCACAAGGCTGAAGGCTTCCGATACCAAGGCTGAAAGGGTAGAAACCCCCTTCGACAAGCGCTGCCTTTGCTCCCTCTTGCCATTGTGTTCCTAAAGATCCGAGACGTGCATTACCTTAAACTATGACATGTGTCAACCTTGAAAGATGATGCTATTCGATTTGCAACCTGCTATCGGCAACATGGACAGCCCCCTTTCAAAGAAACTGCTTGCCGAATACTTTGATTGACCTCGTACTCTTGCCCAGAATGGGTAATGGAAGGCCTAAAAATCCAAAGGCCTAGCATGCAGCCTCTGATGCAATCCAGGAGGACAGTCAAGTCAATGCATGTTATAAGGCCAGCCTGATAGCCCTGCTTTACTTCCTCCTGCACTCTTACTCGGGAGAACACAGAAGCATCTCTTCCTTTGACCATCAGGGAGCATTGAAACAAAAGACAACAATCTCAACAAGGCACCTACAGAGATGGGTCTATTCAAAAACGACGATGGGGGCTCTGATCCTGTGTGTAGCATGCCAAACCCTCTGGCGGCCGGTATGTTCGACACAAACGCACCAGGAGAACTACCCTCGACTGACAGCGTCACTCAGATGCACCGGAGCCATTCATCGGCAGCCTCTCCTTTCGACAATTCAATCTGTGTCTCTCGGGCAGTTGTACAGCGTTTGTTTGTCTGTCAATCTTCATTCTCATGGCCAGACACGCCACACATTTCAGCAAACCCAATGAACAGAGCAAGTGAGTGGTGCTCCCTTTAGTTTCCGAGGGATTGAATACAGAGACTGACACTTGCCATCATAGGATACTGAAAATCTGTTTCCTACTTCCATTCTACAGCCTTTTGTCACTTCTTGGAATCGCCTATCCGAATGCATACCCCTACCTCGACCCGTGGCGGGACTTTTGGGAAGCGATCGCTTTAGGAAGTTTCTTCCTCCTGCTCTGCGAATTTGTGTCACCGAGTTCGGACTTTCGCGATGTCTTCTTCGCAGCGTTGGAAGTTCCACAATCTCGCAGGGCCAAAGAGAAGGGCAGACCCGTCGATGGTAGTGGACTGGAATGGTACAGGGTAAGTTTACACCTGTCAAGCAGTATACGGGCAAGAACCATGCATGGACTGACACTGGGTAGAAACGATGGGTCTTTATTTTCCAATATGTCGTTGTATCCCTCGGGATAGCTGTCGCCACAGACATCACCCAGGCCATTAACAAGTATTGCCTGGAAAGCAGCAATATTCACTTCTCTCATCTCTGGGTATGACTCTTTCCATACATACCTTGCCGCGAAGGCCTCGATTTGCAATGCCAATGGGTCTAACTATGCTGTGGGCAGCTGACGATAATCCACAACATCTCTATCACTGTTGCCGTGGCCGCATGCATCCGGTTCTACAATGCCTTGAAAAAGGATTTGAAGCACCACAAGCCCCTTGCCAAGTTTCTGTCTTTCAAACTCATCATTGGCTTGTCATTCATTCAAGATGTATGTATAACACTGTGCATCTGGCCGTACCTTGTCTAACCGCATCTCTCATCCCAGATCGTCTTCACCATTCTTCGCTCAACTGGCACACTGAAACCGAGCTCTACCATGACTTACGCGGATGTTAACTTTGGCATTGACACCATGACCACCTGCATCCTCATGGTGCCCTTTGCCGTCTTCTTCCACTTCTCCTATGACGTTGCCCCGTACGACATCACGAAGCCCCGACTACTCCCATTGTCCGAGATCCCGCCACAGTATATCGGTGCTCCGAGATCTTCACAGGAGGCATTGACTGGCCGAAACGGCAGTCAGGAATCGTTCAATCTGCGCCGACACATCGCAAATGAGACTGGTGGCCAATACTACGGTGGCGCACTGGGTATCAAGGCATGGGCAACGGTGCCGGATCCCAGGGAAATCCTGAGAGCCATTCACTTTGCCTTCACCATGAGGACGACGGCCAGGAGAATGAATAGGGCGGTCGTCGGCGTCAATCCTCCTCCCTATCCTCGGTACTAGCCAGATCCAAAGGAGCTGAACCGAAAACGGCGAGACGATTTCCTGGGAGTTGTGAAAGGGGTTTGGAGTTTGGGGTGTTTGGAGTACAGTGGGTGAGGCGGAAAGGAATCCTGGTGGACTTGGAGCTTTTGATTTAGATTCAAGACATGTTCAAGCTTGTATTTATGGTCGCCTCCTGTATCTGGATTGATGCAGTGTAAGAGGTATGAAGTAGGGAGTAGAGCACGACTGCCTGCAGCCTTGTCACGTGGAAGCCTCTCCAGCCATTAATAGGCGTCGAGACGTGCTGCGGGGCCCCTGATTAAACTGCTTTCGAACTTCCGAGGCATCTGTCGGCTTGAGTCGGTCTTTGGCACTACATGCCTCGATGCCGACGCGGCGTATTGGACCATAATAAAGTCTGGGGAAGTTGTTCTGCTGACCACATATTATGCAAACAGTGTCCCCTCGAAGTATCGACGTCTCAGCTTCAAAGGTCATTGTCGTGACAAGGGTAGGGACCTGATTTGCTGTATTGAATTTTGAACTTGCGACTCTTCCGTACTCCTCGTCCTCGTCCTCGTCGGCCTCCGTTCCTCGGTGATTCCTCGCTTGGCTGACAATAACAACAACAACAACAGCGAGAAGGATAAGAACAAGAACAGGGGGAAGGGCAAGGACAACAGCAAGGACAAGAACAATGTCGTCCCCGAACAACAACATCATCCCCTTCTCCGAGCCGGCCTGGCTTGCGGGCCTGCCCTCGCCGTACTACAAGGAGACGCACAAGCGGTTCCAGAAGGCGTGCCGAGCGTTCCTGGAGGAACACCTGCTGCCGTACGCGATGGAGTGGGAGCGCGAGGAGACGGTGCCGGACCACCTGTTCCACACTTTCCGGAAACACAACATGCTGATCCCCAACCTGCCGGCGCCGCTCCCTGTCGAGTGGTTGAGGAGGGTGGGCATCCACGACATCCTGGGCACCCCGATCCAAGAGTGGGACTATCTGCACACGGGCATCTACCTGGACGAGATGGGACGGGCTGGCGTCGGCGGTCCGGGCGCCTCCATGACAGCCGGTCACGCATTTGGTGGGTGATTAGTTTTTTTTTTTATTCCTGAATCCTGGGACACGCATGTACACACACCCCCGGAGACGCGAGCTGTGTCATTGACCGTTGTTACTCGCCGTGTCTGGCGTTGTAGGTATCCCGCCCATCATCAAGTTCGGAAGCAAGGCTCTGCACGAGAAATTCCTCCCCGATCTGCTTCCGGCCAAGAAACGAGCATGTATCGCCATTACCGAACCTGGTGCGGGAAGTGACGTCGCGAACATTGCTACGACGGCAGTGAGGAGCGCAGACGGAAAGCACTACATTATCAACGGACAAAAGGTACACAGCCACCCCCCTTCGGAGAAAGTTTCTTTTTCCATTGGCTAAATTGAAGAACAGAAATGGATCACCAACGCGTTCTGGTCAGACTACGCCGCAATGGCTGTCCGCACGGGTGGTCCCGGCGCGTCAGGGCTGAGTATGATCGTGTGCCCGCTGAAAGGCTACCCAGGTGTGACGATGCGTCGGCTCAAGGTGGCGGGCCAAATCAGCGCCGGCACCACCTTTATCGAGCTGGACGATGTCAAAGTTCCCGTGGAGAACCTCATTGGCGAGGAAGGCATGGGCATGCGCTACATCATGACCAATTTCAACCACGAGCGGCTGACGATCGCGGTGGGCGTGACGAGACAGTCGCGCGTGGCCCTGTCGGCGGCCTTCGAGTATGTCATGAAGCGCGAGGCGTTTGGCAAGGCCCTGATCGAGCAGCCCGTGGTACGGCACCGGCTGGCCAAGGCGGGGGCCGAGCTGGAGACGATGCAAGCGTGGGTCGAGCAGTTCCTCTACCAAATGACGCAGCTCAGCAAGCCCGAGGCCGACGCCAAGCTGGGCGGACTGACGGCGCTGGCCAAGGCCAAGGCCGGGATGGTGTTCAACGAGTGCGCGCAGACGGCGGTCCTGCTTTTTGGAGGGAACGGGTACACGCGCACGGGCCAGGGCGAGATCGCCGAACGCATCTACCGCGAAGTCCCCGGCGCCAGGATCCCGGGCGGCAGTGAGGATGTCATGTTGGATTTGGCCATCCGCCAGCTGGTCAAGAACTATCGGAATGCGACCAAGGCGTTGGAGCGGCCGGGTGGTAGCAGTAAGCTGTAGTGTGGTCGGGGGACAGAGAGAAAGAGAGATGAGGAAGGATACCTTGTAGATAAAGGAACAATGTTATGCAGATGGAAATGCAAATTTGGCAAAAGTCAAGTACTGTCTGTACCGAGAACGCTTAGGTATATACTCGGCACATATAAGTACAGAATATATGTCGTGTGCACAGGCCCGAGCCCGAGCCCAGGTCTGAGGCCGTGTAGCGGATGTCCCGATTCCCGTACCGTCGGGCGCTCTCTAGCTTTAGCCTGGCTGGACGGGATGTGATTCAAGGGACCGGTACTCCGTCCTCGGTAGGACTCCGTCTATTTATTCAGGCTCCCAGCGTGCTGGCTCGGGTCAACGCCCACCGAGCGTCTCCTACACCCCCACTGAAAACACCACCCTCGGGGTCACACCTCGTACCTTGTGGACAGAATCCAATACCCCGCGCCAGGTTGGGGGCGCGAGAGGGCCGACAACGGCGAAGGGCGCAACGAGACGGTAGGGCCATTGTGATGTTTTTATGAGATCAGATGGGGGGCTCGGGGAAGGGCTTCCCTTCTTACAAATGATATTTAATTTTTTTTTTCTTTCCTTTTTTTCAATTCCTGTTGACAAAGGGACCTGAGTCTGTCTGTCCGCCTGGCTCTCTGTGTCGCGTCTACGAGGTGGTGCCCTCCTCGTCCTCTCGTCTCGTATCGTCTCGACCCTGCTCCTGGTCCGACTCTAGAGTAGCAGACATTTCTTCTCGGACTAATAGAATAGATCCCACTCCCCCAACCGTTCTCTGATTACATCCATCGCTCAACCCGGCCGGCGGACCGCTTCTACTACTCCTTTCTCTCCATATCGTACCGAGTGCCTCAGCCCCAACATGGCAACCATCATGAAAAACGCAAACACCTTGCGCAAGGCGCTGAATACCGGGTCGGGCCTCTCGTTTGGCGCGTGGCAGATGCTGCCGGGGACACACCTGTCGCGGACAATCGCCCGGGCGGGCTTTGACTGGATCTGTATTGATTGCGAGCATGGCAATATTGCGGGTGAGTGAGGACGCAGCAGCAGCCGCAGGAATCCTCTGTGCCATCGCCTGGCCACCGCAAGAGTTTGTCTCGGGAAACACGACTCCTCCCATGTCTTTCGTAGATGGGAAGAAATGCTGACGCGCACGACATGACGCCCAGATAACGAGATGCACGAATCCGTCCACGCCGTGGCCGCCTGCAACGTCAGCCCCATAGTGCGGATCCCCGCAAACGAAGGGTGGATGGTCAAGCGAGCTCTAGACGCCGGCGCCCACGGCATCATCGTCCCTTTGCTGTACAGCGTCGAAGACGCCAAGAAGCTGGTGCAGACGGCCAAGTTCCCGCCGTATGGCAAGAGAGGTTTCGGTAGCCCCTTCTCCATGGGCGCGTTTGACGTCAAAGGCGAGCTGTCGGGATTTGACTATATGAACAACGCCAACGAGAACCTTTTGACCATTGTGCAGATCGAGACCAAGGAGGCTTTGGACTGCGTGCGTACAACCACGCCCCCCGTCCATGACCCAACTGGGCGATGACCACAATTGGGCATGAAAAGGCATGAAAGAGAGACTGACGTTTTGGTGTGACCTAGGTCGAGGAAATCGCCAAGGTGGATGGCATCGATGTGCTTTTCATCGGACCGTGGGACCTGGGCAACAACATCGGGTACCCCGTCAAAGGAGACTTTAGCCCTGAGCTCAAGGAGGCCATTGTGAGGATATTGAAGGCCGCACAATCCGCCGGGAAGAAGTCAGGGATATACTGCCCTTCGGGCGAGGTGGCGCGACAATATGCCGACATGGGATTCCAGATGGTCCGTCCCTTTCCTTCCCTCCTCGATGTGTTCGTTGCCGGGCGCGATGATGCTGACACACGGCGCGCTGCAGATCTCCGTCGTGAACGACATGACGGCCATTCCGGTATTCATGGCAGAGTCGCTATCCAAGGCTAAGGGCTCCTACGGCCATGCGGCCGCTCAGGCTGTCAAGGGCGCCGCATACGGAGCGGTCGACATGGTGACGCAGGACAAGAAATAAAACGCTGATCAAGACTCGAGCGCAAAGAAAAGGGGTGGGCGAATGATGGAACCAAAGTCACAAAGACGCGCCTCGCTCAACCACCTCGTCAACCGCCTTTGCCACTTCCTCCACCGTAAACCTGTGCATGAGCTTCTTGGCGGCATCGAGGGTTGGGACGTAATCACCGTAGTCATCGTGAGAAGGTGCACCCGTCCTCGTGTCTCTCACGGGTAAGGGGTCGATGTGCAGCACGGGGACATCAAATTCATAGACGTCCCGCCACCGCTTCTGTGCTGGGTCCATGATATCGATTTCGGCGTACGCGTAGCTGACGACGGGTGTTGCTGCTGCTGCTGCTGCTGCTGTGGCGGTGGTGGCGGCGGCGGGTTGTTTGTCTTTCTCCCGATCCTCATTCTTGCTGTTGTCCTTCAGCGGGTTCTGGTGTTGGCGTTTGTCCTTGGTGTTGGCGGTGGTGAACTCGCCGACGCGCGCCTTGGCCACGTCGCACAGGCCGCAGTTGGCGCGGGTGAAGAGCGTCAGTTGGATCTGGAACTGTGCTCGGCGCGTGTTGGCGGATAAAGAGAAGCGGAGCGCGAGGGATGGACGCATCTCTGGCTATTCTCTACCACTGCTGCTCTCCTGCTGCGGACGAACGAAAGTAGATGGGACGCAGACGGACTCGTGGCTCTGGCCTTGTTAGCTGGCCTTTGTATGCGTGTCGAGGTGTTGCGTGTGTGTAGCGTGTTCGGTGTGAAGGTATTGCTACCTATTAGTAGCTCGGTATGTAAGCCAAGCTTCCCCCCCAACAAGGTCGACCGACCTAGCCGCTTTTGTTTCGTTTTTTACATTTCTATTGTCATTGTCAATATGAGTACGCGGTAGAGGATACAAATTGCTTGCTACATAATATTGCTCATTCTCAATCGTTATTAGTTATACAGTTTTGGTTCGTGTTCTTCATGCCCTTGTCTCGGCCGCCCATGGTCTCAAGCGGTGGCAATACAGCTCCTTGAGCATCTCCTCTTCATTGGCAGACCGGTTGTCGGTAGTAATAGTGGTTTGCAGACTCGTCCTCTCTATGCAGGTGTCTCGGCGACTGGTCTGAGGCCGATGGGGACTCCCAACAATTTCTTCCTCGCTGCCGAACTTGTCCCATGAGCAGGTTGTAGACCCAGCTGTTCCAAGACAGCATTTAGTTGTTGCCCGTTCATTCGCCCAATGCAGCAGATGGACTGAGGAATTCGAGAATGGCTGCACCGCTCAAAGATTGGTGAATGTCGAAAGAGGTCCGATCGACTTAAAACGGAGGTATTCCGGATTCGAGCAGGAATGTTGTGATTGCTATAATGAGTATAACATCGTTGGAAAGGGTCAGGGAATCGCGTTCCCAGTGTCCCTCCGGGTAATAAGTTCCTGTTTAGTGGCTGTGAGGTTCTGATCAAGACGAGTCATTTCCTGTCCGGTTTCTTGTCTCGTCTCTTGAAGCTCGGCTAGATCCATGTCGCCGCCGGTGTTCCCAGGGAGAGAAAGCTCTTCCTTTCCCTGAAACTTACTAAGCGGGACTTCATGAGTGGCAGAGTTGGTCACCGAATACCGAGTCTGTATGGACCTCGAGAGTGCTTAACAAGGTCAAAGCGACCGCTATATCGGATGTAGGATGACAGAGGCTCACTCTTCCTGCCCAAAGGTAAACGGAATACTCCTGACGAACTGAATGCTATGTGCAACCTAATGTTTAAAGGCGGCGGCATCTACCACCCAATTCGGCGGGTAACCAGAAAGGGGACGCTAAACGTAATACCATCTTGATACGCTCTGAAATTTACAATACCTCGGAGCAAATGCTGCTTTAATCCCTCCCAGCCCCTAGCATCGCCGGGGCGGAGCTAATTGAACTCTTTCTCGACGTACACTCAACCACCTTGGCCAGACGCAGGAGGACAGCGATATCTCCGCGGCGTGAAGCTTCTCGTGTCCTGAACGTGCTCGGGCTGGTACGGATGAGATACGAGGTACGCGGTACTGTCTCTAAGTGTCTCTCTCGTGCACGCCCAGAGAGACTGCATGCCACGCTTTGCCCCATTGAGAGGCTTCCAGGGCAGAACATTGGACCAATCATCAGTGTCGGTTTTGAAACGTGCTGTGAATCTGCGGCGTGATTGGTCGGGCGGAGACCTCGCTTTATTGGGCTTGGAGGTTTGAGGCTGGAGACTCAAGGCTGGGCTTGGGTGTGGTGCACTTGGATGCTGAGTACTTGTACGTACCGAGTACTCGATACTGGCACAGAATACCGAGTACGGGGTACAGTGCATCTGATCTGTACATGTCAGGGCGCAGCAATGTCAAATCAACCAAGAGAGGAAAAGCAAGTGTTCGCAACAACACAGCACAAAAACTAGAGCGCCCATAGACCATACCAGCACAGTGTCTCGCAGCTGGTCGGAATGGTCTGGAGACCCGCCTACTACGGACCTATATAGGTACCTAGCGAGCCTACAAAGGTAGCTCTCTAGGTATTGCTCTGATGCGGCACTGCAGAGTCTCCAGGAACAATGTCGAGACAACCACACGGTTCACTTTCTGACCACTGCTGCTACGGCTTCGCTTTTCCACCTCATCACAACTATGTACCACGCCACTAATTCTTCACATCCTCCCGTCTGCTCACACTGTGTACCGGTAGAACGGGCTCCGGTCTCCCAGATCCAGCAGTTCTTGCTCCGTGTATTGCGCCTTGATCTCTTCGTCCGTCTTGCCAACCATGAATGCATCCCGCCGCGCATTCTCGCGTCTGTACGCTACTCGCAACACATATGCCATGATGACCGCACACACGCAGATCCCCAACCCAGTACCGAATCCAGTCGGATATTTCGGTGCCTGGGAGGCGATGTAGATATTACTACCGGCAATCCCACCGAAGTTGCCCTAAGGTGCCATGAGCGCCGCCCAAGAATCGAGGTTGGAGAGACTTACCATAGAGATGAGCAGGGCCATGCCCACGGCCCGTTTCGAGCTGGGAGCCAGATTGTTCCCGATCAAGCACACGAGGCAGATGAACGGGCAATAGAGACCCGCCGCGAGCGGGAACAGGAAAAAATATGTGACTCCCGGTAGCCGCGGATGAGGGATCGCAAGTTCGCCGATGAAGCCAATTGCCGCGATACTGAATCCGGCCATGATGAATGGTGTCCGTTGCTGCACCCGGTCCGACCAGAATGCAAATATGAGCGTCATAATCATGGCGAAGACGTAGATCTGCAAATCCTCACTTAGCTCCGAAGCAGCCTTTCCAAGCGCCAGGGACCACTTACCGGGATCGTCATTAACTGTGCGTTGGCCGACGTGTATCCGAGGTCCTCAATCACAGAGGGAACCGTCGCCGTGAAGCCATAGACACCAATCTGAACATGCCTTTCTCAGTATATCTTGGCCTAGAAAGCTCCCAACGACAAGTCGCCTACCGTATTGGCCCAGAATATGACAACACCGCCCCAGATCTTCCATTCTTTAAAAGCCGCAATGATGTGGCGCATTTTAATACGGTCGGCATTCGTAACCCGGCCATGCCCTGAACCCGTCTCCAGGGCGAGGCGGTTGATGATGAATTCTTTCTCCTCCTTTGTGAGGAATTTGGCCGTCTCCGGATTGTCCGGGAGCACGAACCAGACGAACAACGAGCCAGCCACAGGAACTAAGCCTTCAATGATGAAGATCCATTTCCAGCCCGCCAGGCCGGCAACGCCGTCCATGTGCTGGATACCGTACGCCAACAACCCGGAGAACGCACCAGAAAGCGAGGCGGCAGCATAGAAGAGGGCCATTCGGCGTTGCACCTCATATCGTAGGTACCTGGTAAAGTTTAGAGTGCATTCGATCGGAGACGCTGTCCCTGGTCGGCGTTTGAGATGCGATTGCTCACCAGATCGTGAGGAGGTATGTCGCTGCCGGGAAAAAGCCCGACTCGGCCACGCCGAGGAAGAACCGCGTTACCAAAAGGCCCTCATAGGTAGAGACCACGCCCATCAGGGTCATCACGGTCCCTAGGCAAAGTTAGCCGCTGAGGAGCTAGCATATCCGAGTCGAGCATCTTACCCCAACAGAACATCAAGATAGCAATCCAGATCGAAGGCCGTAGCATCTTAAGCACAATGTTGGAGGGCACTTCAAAGAAGCCATAAGGCACGAAGAACAGGGTCAAGGCGGTGTTGTATTGCATCCCATGGAGATGCAGATCTTCGTAGAGGCCGGCAATTTTAGCATTTCCGATGTTCCCACGATCGATGAATGCCAATCTAGTCGGACTATCAGCAGCCGAACCGTCCATATTCTGGCCAGTTTTCACTCACAGGTATAAGACGGCGAGGATGGGGATCAAGCGGTAGTCGACCTTTCTGAGAATCCGTGTCCGCTCTTTGTGATCAACTTCGACAATCACTTGGTCGGCTGAGAACCCAACCTCGACCGTCTTCAGGCCATTAACTCCCTCGATTTCTTCGACAGCATCTTTCTTCGGGTCGCTGTCATAGGAAATATTCCTTTGGTCCGTTCTCGCTACCTTTTCGTCCATTTCTGGGCAAGATGGGACAGCAATAGAGGAGGCAATGAATGTACTGTAGTCTAGAGGGTTGAGAAGCTCGAATAGAGCTTACCTGCCGAGGACAGCGGTTGGAGAGCGGTGGAAGACTTCGCAAGGACTCCGAGAGGCCGGGAGCCCTGGGCCAGGGAGGGCCAGAGGTCTTAAATGGTCGGTGAAGGACCTGACGAGGCCGCACACGATGCTCCTGTCGCCATGTGTTCTCCAACTGCCGGATCATCGCCTATGCGCGGTCATCAGGCTGTTCGCTCATATCAAGACCGAAACATACCGTAGGAAAGACCATGATTAGTGGAAGCCGTGCGGATCCCGGTGGAATATTCTGCGGGAGTGGATCAATCAGGGGAAAGATGTTGGGGAAATGCGGGTTGATGGCGGGGAGAGTGGCCACCTGGAGACCTGCTTGGGCTATCTTGTAACCCTGCGAGGTATCGGTTACGGCAGGGAACGGCTCCGTTCGCTCTGACAGCTGATGCCGGACGGGAGGTACCATGCTTTTTCCCATCTATTCCGGATGGATTTGGCGTTATCAGTATTGGAGAAAGATGCTTTGTTTTGGTTCCTAACTCCGTCGGAAGGGAGAAGGGATGTCAGGCCATTGGCGGTGAGATTCCTGTTCGAGCCTGGATCGCTTCGGCCCAAATTGCCAGCATGGCACCGGATCCGAGCGGTTCGACCTCGAGCTGAACACGTTCAAGGGGCTGTCCATAGATCCCTGCATGTTGCTGCGTGTCAATTGAACAGCGCCATATAGACGAGCTTCCGGGACTTGCCTGGGGCGAGGATCATTCGGCTTTGAGAAGAAGCTGTCCATGACCACGTGCGGGCTGCCAGATTGACTGCTGCCAGATGCGTGAGAAGCGAAGTTGAGGGCCGAAGCCGCGCAGCAGGAGAAGCCTGATAGCGAGGGGATCCGCGCTGCTTTAACGTTGTGATTTAGCGTTGAACCGATCGTTATTCTATGACTACCCACTTGCTGCTTTAAGCCTCACCAGCCCACGGTGCGGGCCCTACCGTCGAGACATCAGGGAACTGAAGCGGCTATCGCAAGTCTACTTTGTCGTGGTATATTGTCTCTCGACATGGAATTGGGATGTCCTAGCTACATCTTGATGGCCACCATCGACCAAATCACCTCAACATTAGTATCTGCTGCATCAGACCCACCAGAACCCACGACCATTATGAGTCGATAAGCGGGGGAAGATCTCTACAAGAGAAACTAGGAGCAAAGTGGTTGGGAAAAGAACTGCCCTAGGATCCGGTGGAGAATGGAAATAGTATCCCGGTGGACGTGAGGGGTCTTAAGACAGGTAGTTCCAGCATGGACCTGGGGCCAATGGGTTTATTGGGATAACAGTTCATTGTGGTGGCCAGATGGTCTAGGCTTGTGCCGTACCCTCCTTCAGGTACTCATGTGGGAAGTATCTCGGTGCGTATGCCGTGTCGGTAGCTATGAAGCCGAGCCAGGCAGCTAGTGGTTGACTGAGTTTCGATCCACAGATAACAAACTTGGTCAAAACACTCATGGATTGTAGCCTTTTGCGAAGAACCTTAAGACTGTAGATCTGTTGGCGGCATGTCATCTCAATCGCTGTCTCGGAACTCAAGTCCTCTGCTCTCAAATCCTGAGATCTTTTCTCTTTTTTAAAGGGCTCTCATCTAACCTCCTAGGCGACGTTATAATAAGTTATTTCAGGGAATTATGTCCTGTTTCACCTTCATCTTATCCTTGAATGGTGCGATTGCTCACCTACTCAACAGGCTAAACCATCCACTGACTCCACCATTGAAATGATGAGGCTCTGCGCTACATCCATGCCGGCATGCCAAATGGAACGGAGGAATCCATGAACGCGCCATCAAACCAATCCAGCCAGAGTAAACTATTGTCAGGATCAAAATTGGCTGGGTCAAAGCCAATGGGAACGGGAGCGTCCAAATGGGGGATAAGATCTCTTTCTCCGCATGTCTCGGTGTCTGCGTCGGCAACTGTGCCGTCTGGACAGTAGTCGTCCTCTTGCGATATTTCGTGTCGATCTTCTCCTGTTGGGCCGTGGTGGGGATGCTTATCTCTTTGATGTCTTGTGCCAGCAGTACCTTGTAAGATATCCAGTCGAATCAGCTGTTGCCTTGGCCGGTTGAAGCGTGTCCACAACCTGGCGGCGGACTGCGAATGAGAGCGATGGTAATCGATCAGATCGAGGCCTTGCTGAAGCTCACTCGTCGTATCTCCTAACAATGTGGCTGCACTATCCGGGAGGGCAGCTTTATTTGCCCGGGTCTCTGCATCGTATGCTGCTGCTAGAAAAAGAACTGCCAATGCGGATGAGAGGAAGTGGTTAAAGAGTGCTTGTCTTGTTCTATACAAATTGGTCTCTGACGACAGAAGCCTCAACGTCCGGATAGACTTTTTGGCCAGAGTGATAGCTTCCATAACCAGGGCAGTATTGCTGCGAGCAGTCTGAGGATATATGAGTATGGGGCGGAGGACGAGGATCTGGATCTGGTTTGAGCGGAGGTATAGCAGTGTCTTGCGATATACCTCGACCTCATCTGATGTAGAGGTGAAAAAGTTGTGATCATCGGATTCAATTGTTGCGGTGTCAAAACGTACAGAAGGATCCAAGTCCTGATGCCATTGATGGACTTGGTAATAGAAGAAGTTCATTGAGTCTTTTGACGGAGCTTGTCCACTCGCCAGCAGGTTTCGATTGACCAGCGAGTTCCATGCTTGGGCGCCAAATATCACGTAATTGACCATTGCAGCGAGATAGCCCTCGTCGACCTAGTAACTAACCCATTAGCAGACTTGCTCGGCAGAGCATTTGGGATGGACTTGCAGGAGGGGGCAGGTCAACGTCGCTGTCATTAAGGTGATGCGGTAGGCCGGCAGCGAAATTGAATTGGCGGTCCAGGACAAACAAGCTCCATAGTTGCCGGATGATTGCCTGGCGCTCCTTTTCATCTGGGACGATGACCGAGAGCTTTTCGATTCGATAGAGGCCTTCTTCAACAGCTGTGCGCGCAGCGTACATAATAGCTCTGGACCCAAGTACTAGGTCCTCATTGCTGAAGTGATACATCGCCTAGGGCTTCATTAGCGTTTAGCATTGCGAAGACCAAATTCCCATACCACGAGCAGCAACAAAGCTCGAAAATCGTGACTGATGGAGTGCTGAAAGACCGCCGAAACGATAGTGGGTTCCACACTCTGATAAAGGGTGTCTGATAGCTTGGTTCTACCTCCAATCTGGGCAACCAGGGCGATTCCTAGAATTATCTTCAACATTTCCAAAAGGCCACAATGACCTGGAGTTGTTGGTTGACTCCAAAGTGATCTTTTGGCAGACCGCAAAAGACTGGGCAAACTTGACCTAATTTTCTCAAGCTGCGGCAGGGGATGGAGGACCCCGAAAACATCTTGAAATGTGTCCAAGCATTGGACGGCGTCTTCTACGCTGAACCTTTCGAGCGAGGTTTCGCCGTGGATTTCCCAAGCTTCAACCGGTTGAGCAGGTCCATTCGGACAGCCACGTTCTTCAATCGGTGTAGGAGAGGGACTATCGATCGTGGTGAAGTCCCTACTGGATGGAGTGAGGTTGGAAAGTCTTGCATCAGCTGTAACCATTCCGAAAGCGTAACTAGTTGGCCCAGCGTATACGTGTAGGGTGTCTGGATCTGGTTGTCGTTTCACGGGCGCGGGTTCGTCCACCTCATTTCTGTCAGAGTTGTGAGGCTGTTGAAATGCCTCTGGCGGGCTTGGGAAAGCAGACCCTGGCAGTTCGGGAGCGGTAGCACCCTGGAGCTGAGATTTAAATTCGTCCAGTTTTCGTTGTAAATCTTCGATGCTCGTGAAAAGTGCTTCTGGACTCCTGTTGATGTCAGGACCAATCTGTGACAAGAGCAAGTCTCTATAGTGTGATGGACTTACCTGTGTCCATCCCGCTGCTGGACTGTAGGCCTTGAGTCCGGCCTTGCCGCAGGATAACTGCACGAAATGGCATGTTTCTTGCAGCGAAGACAAGGGCGATCTCCCGAGCACCTCAGCTTACGGCCATGGCAGTAGTCACAGGCTGCAGCGGCATAAGGGGCCCTCCTGGCGGCGCTTTGCTTCGCCTTCTTCTTGGGAGGTTCCATCAAACACGGCGTAGGGTCTCGGCGCAATGGTTGTTGTTCGGCTTCCCGGCTTGCAACAGAAGTTTCTATCCTGAGTAGCCCGCCGGCGCACTACGAAGCAACGACGACGACAATTGCGAGGTTTCGACAGGTGGTGATATAATATTTGACTCTTTAGTGCGAGTACCTAGGCCGCTTTACGTTGAAAAAATGATGTCCCCCGGCCCGGCGTCGTGTGGAGTGTGGAGTGTGGAGTGTAAGTGAGAGAGTTTGGGCGCTTCCAGCTCAAGCTCGTCAAGTGACCAAGCGTAGCTGCGTTAGCTATAAAGGTTGGCTATGTTTACCACCTACCAGGCACCTATTGTTGGTACTCTACAAACCTGTGTGTCTAAACTGTTGGTAGGTGCCTTGCAGTTACTACAAGTAGGTATTGCTCGTTCCCTCACGTGCTGGGCATGATTGCTTTCTCAGCTTCCAACCTCCAACATCCATGTGCCACCACTGCGCAAAGAACAATCTGACGTGAGTCCGCGACTAATCTGTTGTTGACCAGTGATCCCACGACATTCAGACTCCAGCAAGGACTCCGCCACTGCGCGTCTCCTCTATTCTACTTGTCGCATACGATCCATTCCTTCATCCTGACCAAGAGACCATGCAAAGGCCATCCCCTCGCCACCTCAGACTTAGCTCAGTATCACAGGTCGTCCGATCATTCCTCTACCTTCTTACCTCGTCTCAAAATCCCATCTACCAGCTTCAGGTGGCATCTCGCAGAGTCCACCCGGGGCCTATTTCAGGGTTGACGACCGACTTGGAACATGATGCTGTTGACAGGCGATTGCCCACGTTGGTCGGCAGCAGTCGCCCTCTGACCAAAGGAGACGGGAAAATGAGATCCGGGTGGATTTGGACCGGAACCGATACATGACGTGGACCAAAAATCCTTTATAGCCGCAGCGGTGCTTGGATTGTCCGCCATTCCATAAGGTTGTCCGTACGAATTGGAGTTCTGGGCCAAGGTAATGATCGACGTGCCCGGACTGCTCTAGCCGAAAGGGACAAGGCAATTGGAGGTGAAGGAGCTCGGAATTCAGGTATCGGGCGTTGGATGCGTTCCGAGCATCAGATCCCCAAACACGCCGTAGGCTCCCTCTCCAAGTCAGTTCCGGTCCACGTTGGGGGACCTTTTCAGCAGCCCTCATCCTTCCAATTCGCCTCTTCTAATAATGAAAGAGTCGGTCCATTCCGATTCAGGTTGTGCTGTTCATAACTGGACGGAAAGCACATTCTCTTCCGTCATGGGCAATGGGTGAGGAAGGCCCATCAAAGTCGTCGACCGTGATTAAAAACGAAACTGGCGTACAGAGCCCACCATGTCAGCAATCCGCGTGGGTAGGAGGATAAAGCATGCCTTGTACTCGAACGCTATATCAAGCCCAAGGAAAGTTACTCTAGGAGTCGTGAACTAAGTGTCTTGACATCTCTGGTGCGTTTTGCACGGTGCCCTTGGTTAAACATCAGAAACAAACCCCCCTGAACCACAAGAGAAGAACCAACCACCATGCTGCCAGTCTGCCTTCTGTTCCTAGCGTTGCCGACCATTTTCATTCTCGCGTCATTCCTGCGCAATCACTTCTTTCATCCTTTGAGCAAATTCCCCGGCCCGTTCTGGGCAGCGCAGACGGACCTATGGAGGGTCTATCATCTGTGGACGAGGCGCATGCCAGACACCATGGTGAAGGTGCACGAAAAGTACGGGCCAGTTGTACGAGTTGCGCCGCGCGAGCTGAGCTTCCGGAGTGTGGAGATCCTCGACGAGGTTTACAAAGGCGGGCGGAAGTTCATCAAGAGCAATCTCTACGACGGATTCACGACTTTTCACCCGAACTCATTTGGAACTCGTGATGAAGACGTTAGTCCATACGCCCGGAGAGCCTGATGGATCCTGAATTCGATAATGCTAATGGTACGGCAGCTACATGCTAAGAGACGTCGCCAGATGGCGCACAGCTTCTCCCTCGCGTCCCTTTCGCAGATGGAATCCATCTTCAATCGCCATCTCAACAACCTTGTCGATGCTATTGACGCCCAAGGCTCTAAACCGTTTGACCTGAAGAACCTCATAGGATACTATGCGTACGACGTCATGGGAGAGTTGGTCTTCCACACGGAGTTCGGCTCTCAAGCGGCGCAAGACCCTACACAGTTGCCCCCAATCAATGAGCATATTTTCCTGGGCTGTCTATTCGGTATGCTCCCTTCCTTGCTGCCATACAGCATGAGACTTGCAAATTATATCCCACTGCCATGGCTCCAAAATCTCCTCGCGAGCAGGAAAGTACTGAGAGACAGGACCTCAGCCTGCGTGGCTCGTGAAATGGCCAGAGAGAAAGTCAGCGACAAGCACAGCATCTTGACCAGGTTAATCCGTGCAAAGGACCCCGAAACAGGTGAAGCATTGTCAGAGATGGCAGTCAGCTCGGAAGCATTTGCGTTTCTAGTCGCAGGGTCACACACAACTTCGGGCACCTTGACTTTACTTTTCTATCATCTACTGCACAATAAGGCTGCGGCTGAGAAGCTCACAAAAGAGATCATGGCATGCGTGCCTTTCAAAGATACTGCTGGGGATTCCTTACCAGCATACTCCGGATTGGAAGCGCAGCTGCCGTACGCGACGGCCTGTATCCGAGAGAATTTCAGGATTTCACCTGTCTTTACTATGCCGTTACCGCGTACAGTCTGTGATCCAGAAGGTGCGGTGATCGATGGTATCTATGTTCCTTGTGGGGTAAGTTTCGAGACAGCCCGACATGAACAGGGACTTCAAGCTGATGCTCTCATCTAGACCAATGTCTCAATTGTCAACCATGTGCTCCATCACGACGCCTCTGTTTGGGGCACGGACCACGACTTCTTTCGGCCTGAGCGATGGCTCGATCCGTCAAAACCACTCTCCCCGAACGACCTTGCCCCTTTCGGTGCAGGTCACCGAGCATGTATAGGCAGGAATGTGGCGATGATGAGCATTGTCAAAGTACTGGCGGCTCTCTGGCGCCGATACGACCTGGAAGTTTTGGATCCCGGGGAGGAGTTGATCGTGGAGAGCGTGGGAATAGGAGAGAAGAAGGGACCTTTGATGGTTAAGGCTAGACGGAGGGCAGAATGAAAGCCAGTGAAGACGAAAGTGGGAAAGGAATGGCGATGCTGGTCAAGACATATTCAGCTTGAAGGCTGCCGAACCATGCATACATTCATATATTCCCCTTCCTTCCATGGTGACATCTCCAAGGCTAGTTTGGAGACTTCTTTGAAGCCATACTTCTCGTAGAGTCGTAAAGCTGCTGGCGCACTTTCGACATAAGCTGCCAGGCCTCGGTCATCGGCCCGCTCCAGGCCCCAGTCGAGCAAGAGAGAAGCAGCGCCTTGCCTTTGGTATTTCGGGCTGGTTCCTATCGCAGCGAGATCTTGCTATGAGGTCAGATCGGAGCAGCATTAACCTCGTCAAAGATAGGGAGAGGGTAGGGTCGCTTACACACATAGGGCTTATCCGGGCCGATAATTGACGCGGCGACTTCATGGCGTTTTCTGATACTGTTGCGAATCAAGCGATTCCCCAGATCCTTATTAGCGTCATCAGGGAGTGGGAATTCACGCATCAGCATTTCCTGCTCGACCTCCTCTTGGCTTTTGGGCGGGTAAAAATGCCAGACGGCAAAGCTCGCGATCTCGCCGGACATGGCCTCCTTGACTACCATGAGGTGGCAGCTTGGGTCGTTCTCCAGGTCACTTTCGTACGAGTGGACAAAGTGGGTGATGGAGGCCAATGTGGCTCCCTTTGGGAAGATAACAGGAAAGCCATGGTCGGAGGCGCAGGCTGCGAACTGGACGCGGGCTATGCCCTCGAGATCGGAGGGTGAGGCAGGGACGAGGACGAAGGCTGGCATTCCTGAGAATGTTTATCGGGGACGCTTCCCTTGCATACCGGGAGGGAGACTGCCTAGATATGTAAGAAAGCCAGCTAGAGCTCAAGAGTCTCGAAACTCGGTTCTTGCAATTCCCGCTTCGAACTTTGTCAGCACTGGCCTCCCTTCATCATCGACAGTCCTCGACTTCGATGCCTCAGCTGCTGATTTCGAGAATGACGATTTCGACGGACCATAGGGGGACGCGGGGCCAGAATTGGGTTCGCTTACCGAGTACTTGACTTGCAGCATGTGGGACGTTAAATGGGGATGGGATGGGATGCCCTGTCAGGTGAGCAAAGATTCCGAGATTGTTACCTAGGTCTGTTGTTTCTTCGAAATTTTGGCTTTTAGGCTTCTGGGCGCAGCTGACTGGGCGGCTCTTGGGGGCTAGTGAGCTGCAGCTGGTAGGCTGGCTTGCTGGGTACTTGGGGTGGGTTGCTGCTTGAAGATTCGGCCTTGTGGGCGCTGCTGCAGGGGACGTAGCCAGTCGGCAGTGCAGTTCCCCAGGAGCCCTGCTGGTCCAGTTTCCACTCCTTTTTCCCTTTTTCCCATTTCCCCCTTCGCTAGAGGGACCTGCGCTGCTGTGCGCCATCAAACCTCCTCGTCCCAGAGCCCGCACTCTTACCTATTCCATCTCTGGTTCGGCCACAGCCTGGTGAACCACTGCTCTCACTCCTCTGCCACTTTGGAAACCCCCTTGTCCAACAATCTGACGAGGTCCGGGGGGTGGGCTTGGAGTGCAGATCCTCTGTGCCTTGTTTCTTCTTGTCCTGCGTCTGCGCAAGCACCTCTTTCAGCACTGAACTTTGATCCGGCTCCAACAGTCACATCGACAATCTGCCCCTTCTGCAGCACCCGCAACAACGTCCCTCCACGCCCCAGTCGAGCGCAAAGATGCATTGACAATACACTCTTGGAACTTGGTGGTGTCTTCGAAGCCAGCTGAGCTGCCCGACGCCTCTCCGCGGTCGCATTCTGTCAGAGTCGATCAATTGCGCAGTTCGTTGATACAACCTTGGTCATCATGGCGAACGCACACGCTCATCCAATTCCTCCTGCGATTCCGCACGACCTGTTTACGCAGGAAGTCCCTCCGTCGCCGACATTGACAAATCCCGACATGATATTACCGTATCAGCCTCACCTCGACTCCAGTCCCGGTCCACGCGCCCCTTCGCCGATTCTGCGCTCGTCCCCGCTCCCCGTGCGTCCAGATTCTGCGGTTTCGCTGGGCTCCTCTCCGCCCGAGCTTGAGCCTGCAGTCGAGTTGGGCATTGCGACAACTATCAGGATGCCCTCGCGGGCTGTCCCCCCTATCAACACCAACTACCATGGCTACGAACACGGCGCGCCCCTGAGCGACATTGGAGAGGAGGAAACCCCGAAATCGAAGAAAAGTCGGAGAACCGAGAGCCCGATGATATCGGATCCTCCTTCACCGACCCCCGCGGGCCCTTTCTCGCGCGTCGCCCGAAGGTTGAGCAATCATTCCTCCTCGAGCAATGGCTCTGACCTTGGCAATTGGGAGGATTTTGATACTTCGAAGATCATGAATGGGAGGCTGGCGGCAGACGTGGCCAAGGTCCCTGACGAGGAAATCGAAGAACCCGACAGCAAGAGAAATAGCACGACTACAACCAGCGCAGAAGACGAAATGGCTTTACTCAACGAACGAGCAGAGAGGATTCTTGAGCACGCCAGGAAGCGATTGACCCACATGGAGGATAATCTCAGTAAAGCACGTCACAGCATTCTTCTGTCGTCGAGATCCTCGCCGAACATAAATGAACTTCATCAACCTGCGGGCGGGTTATATCGTTCGATCTCTTTGGCCGGCGCCAGTCAGCGAAAGCCCAGACCGCTTCATCTTGTCAACAGAAACAATTCGGTGGCGCACGCCAGAGGCGGTAGTGATACGACGACAGGTGCCTCTGGACTGAAACGCCTCTCCATGATTCCCGAGATCAGATCCGCAAGCGCCTTAGAATATGGACGCAGACAAGAATCGCCCCAGCAATTGCTTCATTCGCCCTCAGCGCGGGGTGGCCCGTATTCGCCGGCAAGCAATCGCAGCTTCAATTCGCCTCTGCGGGTGTTGAAAGAGGAAGAGAGCCCCCCAAGCACAACCAAGACGACCCCAGATTCGTCGGCCCCGCGAGGCCTGGGTATCAACACCCTAGCAGCTGTGTCTAAAGAAGATATTTCGGTGGTCACAAGCAGCCCCACCACAGCTCTTGCTCGCTCCTCATCAGCAATGTCGAATCGGTCTACCAAAGAGATTCGAGAGCAGATGTCGAATTTGCAAGCAAGAATTTCCGACTTGAAAGATAAAGCGCAGGCCGACAGCCTGAGGAGAAAAAGCCTGCAAAGCATGAGGACGCCCAGTCCGTTTGCGAGCGCCCACAGCCCAGAGCAGTGGTACACAAGTGCCCCCGAATACAAGGAGGCAGGCAGCCCGATCAACACGAACGCTGGTATGGGATGGAGCCCATCCCAACCGAGGAAGCGACTGGACTTTCAGGTCACACCAGTTACGCCACAGGCACAAACACTCCTCAACGTCGAACTGCCCGCAACAAGAGACTCTGGCTTGGTGAGTGAAGCCAGGACAGACAAGAACACTCCAAGTCTCCACAAGTCGGTTCATCTGCAGCCAGAGCCAGTCGAGAAATCCAATTCAGTGCTCCAGGAATCGCTATATGAAGACGCAGCGCAAGAATTTGATGATGACGAACCGATTGCCGCTTCGGAAGAAGAGCAAATTTACTTGAACGAAGTTTTGGAGGAGAGCCTGCAGGACCTCGAGCCTGATGTCCCCGAGATCCCCGAACACCTGCTTCCCACAGAAGGCGCCGCAGAACGCCATGAAGACAGGTTAGATGCGTTCGACTACGAAAACATGTTCCTCCATAGTGCACTAGGAAATTACACTGGGACGGGTATTAGAAGTGAAACTCCTAGCGAGAGCGATTGCAGCAGTGTAACAACGACGCGCATGGCCCAAGACACACCGACAATAGATGAAGACGACACGGAGATACCTCTCGATGAGGAAGCGGGTACAGAGGAAGCTGCAGACACACCGATTCAAGAGACCTTTCTACAACCCGGGCCTCCACTCGATCCCACTCCGCTTGCGGCGCCTTCGAAACCTTGGATGAAGGCCGCACGAAGCAATAGTATGGATTCTGTTTCAACTGTCGCCACCTTTGCGACCGCTACAGAGGGGGGAGGTGCCGGTGATGGAGAGGCCGAGGATGGAATGCCGACAGAGATTCTCAGCTGGGGCAATTCGGCGCCATTTCCTCAACCACCAATGAGTCCAAAGCGTGAAAACACAGCTTCTGTGTGGCCGACACCTCCAATGAGTGGGCGGGCTCGCCAGGGTCAAAACAGATCCCCACGACAGATTCAGACGCAAGGGAGCATCGTTTCTAATGGCATACCGACTCCTCCTGTCCATTCACCAAACGGATCTTTTCCCACCCCAAGAGCGTTTGGTCCAGCCACTGCGCCAAATGAGGTGCCAGTCGACCATCCCGCGAATACGGAGATCCTAATGGAGAGTCTGATCAAACTAGCGGACCCGGAATTTAGAGTTGGCGAAGGACCTGGGTCAGTGACCTTTTCCAACGTCGACAAGGATCTCGTCCTTGATCTCTTGCGAGCTGTGGGTGGCGTCTGCAATGAGATCCTAAGGTCGGAAAGGAAACACGAGGTGCGTGCCGCAAAAGTACTCAGGAGGAGACTGGACGAATCAAGGAAGCTCCTAGAAGGGAGAACCGACGAGTAGCCAAGATTGTGGGCCGCCCTGGGTGATCTTCCACCCTGTAATTGACTGAGGCGCTACTTTCTCCCCGATACCTGACACAATACGACATGGTTGACATCTTGGAATTCCAACTTATGAAGACATGGGTTGATGCCGGAAGACGATGGCTGGCGCGCAAGAGAAGGAATGGACACACGCTATATCGGCTTATATACTCCAACATTTTATACTGGACTTGCATCATATATGGTATCAATGTAATATACAAGTACATGACAACAACTGACAACTCCCTCTGGGAGACAATTTCTCGCACAAAGTTTTGGCAGAAATCGGACACGCGGGATCCTGTGATGACCCCCTTGACGCGAGCAAGCCGTTTTAGCGCAGCTGTCAAATTCTCTGGGCGGCAGCAATAGTGTGAATGGCGGTTGGGACTTTCAGCCGACCCTTAGGGGTCAACCCTGGTACAACTGGCAGAGGAGGTGAAATCTGAGCTCACATTCTTGGCCAGGGATTTTCTATCCACTAGTCTCGCTCGCAAGTCCACTTTCGATCGCGAACATCTGCCACGATCGCGAAGCCCATCATATTGGGGATCGAGAAAAAGGCGATCCGGAGAGATTCACAATCGGATATCCAGCGAACATATGCATGCTCTGTTCGCAGTGGATGCTCTTCTGACTGGCCTTCTGGAAGACGAGGCTGGTCCTGGAATATCTTGCTTCTTTGGGGGGCCGGTAGGATCGGTCGATCTCTCTCAACACTACGGCTCTTGCAAGGGGAGATCTCATGCTCTTGTCATGAGCATTTTGATCGATAAGCGAATTGGAAGATGTCACAAATCAAGAACCTGCTCCTGTCTTTCCTGTTGAAGTGGTGTGGGAGTGCTGCGACAGCCTCAAAGCCCTGCTTGACCCGATTTGAACGTTGCGGCGCTCCACGGCACCAGATCGATTGAGAGGGACCTGGTCCTACCCTCCTGTTCATGGATCAGACCAACCCGGGGTTGGATTTGATAGGTTCGTGTCCCCCAATGAGGACCACTTTGCCCCTTCTCTTTTACTTGCATTTGGTGGTTCTCCGCCAGCGTCTAGCGCAAAGAGGCTGTCCTAATGCGTTGATGTTGGTCTTTACTGAAGTTATTAGATGTAGAGCGCATGTAGGAGGCAAACGGACTACCTGCAAAGTAAATGGCGAAGTGGAGACGGATTCATGCGCTAGGTTTCCCATCTCATACAAAGTTCAACAACCCGGGGGAGTGAGGGTGAAGAGGTACATATTCTGCCGACCTGTCAGGTCCGTCTCGTTCAAGCAATCCCTCCTTTGGTGCGACTCCCTTCTTGTTTCAGGCCGTGCCGCACCTCTGGTGGTGCTTATCTAGTTGTTAGCTAAGGCGCAACTCGTTCGATCTACGGCTGGCTTGCTACCCATTGCACAGACTTGTATCGATTTCCCACCACTTGCAACCATGGTTAGCCCAACCATTCCTAGACAGTTTCCAGCTATCTGACTGACAAAAGACAGGCAGGAAATAGCATCACGCAGACAAAGCGAGAGGATTGGGCGTCTCAAAACATGGCTGTGTTGCCCAGCATCACTGATATTCTACTGGGAAGAGGGCCAGCGCCAACGCTCTTACCTTCGCCCTCACCTATTTCCTGGCAAAGATCGAATGCGTCTCGTTCTAATAGCTTCCCCATGTTGAGGGTTGACCAACTCCTTCTCGACCATTATCTGCCTTACAAAGGTCCTCCTCTGCCATCAATCAACTCTATGGCAGATGGATCTATTTCCAGTTTCTCGGCATACCGACAGCTTTTGACTCCTCCTCTCACCACCAGCAGTTCTTCATCTGTATGCTCTATAGATACAGACCTGGACGGCGACGTTGACATGGCACATCTCCGGAGTTTGCTCGACCTGCCAGAACCGAAGCTTGCTACTGTTGTCCAGGTAGCCAGCGACCTGCTAGAAGATTCTGCAATCAGGCCAGCCTACAACCAAGGCTGGTTCAAGCCTACCTCTCCTGTGAACAAGTTCAGCAAGAGACTAGAAGACAAAATCGCCGGCAAATCCCTCGATGAGTTGGTCGATGGCTTTTTCTGTCGCGACGAGAGTCGCGAACTCTACGGCGAGCGAGTGTCGAAACCTCGCCCGAAGCTAGAGAAGAAAGCTGCCTTGAAAGAAATGCAAGCGACAGAAGACCTCGACCCTGAGTTGCTGGCGAGGGAAAAGAGAAGACAAGAGGCTGACGAGGCTCACCGGATCGCTGAAAATGATAGACGAGACCGTCATCGCGAGTCTCAAAGGGAAAGTCATCGTCGATGCTCCGACCTGGCTGCAGAATGCGGTGCGGAACATGCAAAGGCCGAGAAGAAAACCAGGACTCAAGCGGGCAAAGGGCCCGGCAAGGACGATCAGCTGTGGACGGCTATATACGCCCACGAAATGGCGGGGAGGGTGGTGCAGTCGGTCAACGACCGGCGCAGGCGTGCGGAGACGATGGTGCAGTTGCTGCTCCAGTTTCTCATCCGCCAACAACAAGACTTGCTGCCGGATCGAGGAGCTCGACGAAGCTCGAGCGAATGCGGCTCCTCCACGAGTGAGTCGTTCTTCTCTCAGCCAGGCTATGTTGGACGGAAGAGGACATGGGATGACATGGAACGAGAGTCAAGACGCACATGGCCAAGTATCTGGTGAGGCAGACACAAACCTCTTTTGGTGTTTGGGAGCTCCCGTAAAAGCCAGCAGTGCGAGGGCTCCTTTCTCCTCCTTGAGTCACGTCCGATGATTCTCGCGGCGATGGACCACGGCCGATTTTGCGCAAGTGCAGAAGTATCAAGATGCGGCGGACATCCGAAGCTTTCGCTTTCTTGTGGAGCACCAGTAAAGCAGAGTGACGGGGAACAAAAAGTTTGTTCGAGAAACTTCCCATACCGCAGCATTTATGGGACGGAGCTTTGTTCCACAGCACCAGAATGGATATGTACTTGTAAATTAGTATTCGGCACAGGCGGGGATTTGCTGGAAATCCGCGTGCCGGGTGCTGCAGCAGGGTATTTTCGCTGGAGTGGCGTTACATATGTGGCCGCCGGGGTTGTTGCTGGCTGTCTATGTATCACACTGCTAGAGGCTTCCGTGGGGAGTTTGTGATTGATTGGTACAGTCAGGCGTTGAGAGGATGATATAACGGAATTGCTTTCCACTCGTGGCCCTATGTATATCATGTCATGTGCGTATGTCATGTGTGTACCATCAATCGTTCAGCGTGAAATAAGTAAATACACGTTAGATTCTGTCAAGAAGAAACCCTAGGCGGGAGATAGCTATATAGCTATATAGCCGGAGTGCGGACACCCACAAAACGAGTGCGAAGTCTTTCTTTTCTCAACATTTGCTTTTGTCGAGAAAATAAGCCAAGAACTAAAGCACCATTTCGAGCAGCGCAGCTTTTCAATCATCGTAATCGTCCATCGTGGTCAGCTTCACTATGCGCTCATTCAAACACAACCTCCGAAACTCAGTGAAAGTTCTCAAGGGCAGGTACGCTTCGTCCCAGGTCCGCTCGTTGCTGGACATTGTCATGTCGAAGACGCCCTTGGAGCCCAGAGAGATGATCAGCAGGGCTTCGGGGTGGCCGACCGATATGGCTCCTGCGACGTTTGTGACGAAATATAGGACACCTCTCATGGCGAGGTCCCAGCCGGCGAGCGCGTTGGGGCCCTTGCGGATGTTGTATGCCAGGGCGCGAAGTATGTGGGACGGGGCGGGAGAGTCGATGAGCGGGAGGACACTAATGTCTGGTCTCGTGGATGGCGAGGAACGAGTTAGTGGAGGCGTTGTAGACGGGGGTGGTGCTGCTGTCGAGAGTGAAAAATTGGGGAGCGTTGTCGTGCTCGCAGTGTCAGGAGGGTTCGGTGGAATAACTGGAAAGGCGGCGCGACAGGGGAGACAGGTGTCAGAGAGATGGACTATGACTAGCCCACACAGCCTGACACATTCATAGATATAGTCTTTTTCGCGCATGATTCTTCTTCCCGTTCCCGCCCTTGTCGATGTCGATGGTGAATGGATCGATTCATGAGCGAGCAGTCGAACGCGTAATGCGAGGCGGTGAGCGAAACAAAACGCTTCTTTCTCCACCCGAGACTCGATGTCGCGCTCGATCTCGAGGAGTTCCAGGTAGTCGCGCAGATCGCAAAGGAGTCGCAGCAGCCGCGCATCACAATATTTCGAGCGTTGTACGTAACGAAACCCAGGCTCAGGGCAGTAGAAGGGCGACTCCAAAATCATTTTCGTGTTTCCTCCGCGAGAATCACCGTCCATGCGAAAACGATCGTCGCCGTAACCGAAGTCCGGGTCGGGATATTCGGGGGGAGGCACTTGGAGGTCGGTGGCTACGGGGGCCATATGGCGGTGCAGAGCGATCGTTCTGTTTATCAACAATTCCACAGGAGAGCTTTGTCGGGCGGGATTCGCCTGCTGCGCCATGATCACCGCCATGGCCTCTATCCCTTTTCGGTGCATCAAGTACTGGATATCGTGACCGTCAGCTTCAATGTCGGCGTTAATGGGTGCTCCGAGGTGCTGCCTATTGAGATCAGCTCACGATAGCATACATACCTCTGGTCCGAATCCGCCCTCGTAGACCTAGTCAAGGGCCTCATTAGACTGAAGCCAACACCTTTAGGTAAGAAGGAAAGGAAGTTATATTTTACTCACGGCCACCGTGCTTGCTAAAGAGGTAACAGTCGCAAAGTCGACAATATCGACCTGTGCTCTGGAGTTGCTGAACCTCTGATTCATGGCCTGCACGACCTTCCCCTTCACTAACAGCGCTGTCACACTTTGGCCATGGTTGCGCAATGCGTCAAGGGTTGAGCAAGCCATGTACGCCAGGGAAGAAAGGAGGGCAAAGTGTTGCTGCGTTTCGGGGATCAAGTGTCGCAACATAAGTTCTTGTGAAAAAAACAAATACACTGTTCCCAGGGCCCGCAAAGTTAGCGAGAGACATGGCATTGTAGACATTTTCTTTTCTTTTTTCTTTTCTTTTTTTTTTTTTTTTCAAAAAAAAAAACCCCGACCTCTCTCGAGATTCGCCACAACGCTGAGTCTTCACGAGACTGAGGGGAAAGCGACATACTCTGTTGTCTAAGGTCCATAAAATCTTGCGATTTGGAGAATATGAGGTTGATAGTCCAGTCATCGCCCTTGTGTAACGAGAAACCAGACCTGCGAAGGCTCCTGTCCTGCAGCCGTTGTCGGATCAAGCTCAAAGCATGCTTTGAATTCAATCACTCAGCATTGACATCTTAGTCCAGAGAGAATATGTAGGGCGCACCGCAGACAGTTCTGTCGCACCGTCACCATCGTCACCTGAAGTACCTGAAACAGTTTGTTTTTTCTTCTCCTCTCGTCGTCTTCTCCTCGCATGAGTATGGAATGCCGCATGGCTCAGGAGGTCCGACTTCAAAGTAGGCTCGTAGCCTCCGCTGGGGTCGGGGTTGACATCAATGATTCGGAATATGGTGCTCATTTTCACCACAGACCATGATTAGGCCTTGATATCTTGTGTGGAGCAGCCCGAAGTTGTTCGCAGAAAGAAATCGCTCAGCAGATGTCCGAGAATCACCCTATGAGCGGTCTACAGCGTTTGAAGCTGCTTGAGTCTGCTAAGGGTCGAAGACCCAACAGATGACTGAGCAACGTGGACTAATTTCCAAGATATACCTTACCTGAGCCCGGGGTGAGCTGATCTACAAGATCTAACCGAGCGGTCTGCGGACGTGGTGTGTTCTGATTGATATCCAATAGGTTTGCTTCAAAACGTTACATAAAATTTCGTAACCTGTTGGTAAGGCTCGCTTTTGGGGGCCGGTTGGAACCAGGAACAGTATCATGTCGCAGCATGTTACCGGATTCAGGAAAATGCTCTAGCTAATGGACGTCCCGCTAGGTCGTCGAGCCAGTATGGCTGGAGTAGAGCAGATAGATACCCGTTGTGTTTGACGAGTTCGATGGATCCCTTGTCTTTTCTAAAGGCGGGGGGTGCTTCTGGTCCGCAGCGATGATTGTAAGGAATGTGGAGTATATAGCTGCGTAGTACATGGGGATGTGAGTTCAACCTGGAGACGACGGAGCAAGATGAGGCTACGCAAGCTACATTGTCGCCAAGGCGAATATCATCACGTGCACGACCTTTGACACCGGACGTCGGAAACCTTTGGGGAGGGAGCTAAACCTATTCTGGTTCTTCCGCAGTTTCGCGTGCCAGCACTGCAAGGAGTAAAGGCTGGCTTTGGGTGCTGCTGGGGGAAAAAAGGATCAGATAGAGAGACAGATCTCAACCACCACCACCACTCCACCCCTGCGAACACCGGCCCTTGCGTCGAATTCTGTCACGCTCAAGGTCTCCTGTGCCTCTATCACCATTGATTCAGCATCTCGGGGCTCGTTTGCAACCCTCGGCCAATCTGAGCCGCGTTCTATCTGCCCTCGCCCCAACTCCATACGGCGCCTGCGACCTCTTCTCCTACACCTTGATCCTTCTCCATCGGGCCTTGATGCGCAAGGCCATTCCGTTCGTTTCGTCCATCACAACCAGCAGCAGCACCTTATTCAATCTGGCCGCGACAACAACGACGTCCTCCTAGTGAGGAGTCTGCCACCTCGCTCCCGTACTGCCGCGCCATCCCTTCCCTCGGTGCCTCCCTTTCCTTGCCTCCGATTCTCAGCACATTCGATTCCCAATTGTACATTACCTTCATCCGCACTAAATGCTTCTCCCAAAAGGCGGCATGACTTGGAAGTCTGCCAAAGCCAGGCTGCCCCCTTGGAAAGCCATAATAATGTTCTTGACCCGGACCCGATTTCTGGTCGCAGTCGCCCTCACGGGCCTGATTGTCTTGTTATGGAGGGGGATAAGCGTGTCCACACAACAGATGTCAAAGTACGTTTCCTGTCCGTCCAAGATGAAAGGCTGGATGACTGACTGGCTGTGACTGCTAGTTTCTATTGCTTCGGCCCCTCAAAGCCTCCCACACAAATGTCAAATAATGAAATGGTCGCCTGGAACCAACACCTTCAGACGCCTGTCCTCTTTAACCACCATGAACCTTATGAAGTCAATGCCAGCACCATCAACCGCATCGATTTGAATCCCATCGTCTCCACGCCCCGAGCACTCAGTAACCGTGAACGGATCCTCATCCTCACACCTCTCCGCGACGCCTCGCCCTACCTCATCAAGTACTTCGACTTGCTCTCGGAACTCACGTATCCGCACGACTTGATCGATCTGGCTTTCCTTGTGGGGGATTCTGTCGATGACACCCTTGCAGTGCTTTCCTCGGAGCTGAACCGCATACAACAAAGGACCGACAAAATCCCCTTCCACAGTGTCCTCATCGTCGAAAAGGATTTTGGCTCGAAACTCGACATGAGCGTGGAATCGAGACACGGATTCGCCGCCCAGGGCCCGAGGAGAAAGGCTATGGGGAGAGCAAGGAATTACTTGCTGTCCGCGGCGTTGAAGCCCGAACACAGCTGGGTGTACTGGCGCGATGTTGACATCGTAGATTCACCCAAAAAGATCATTGAGGACTTTGTCGCCCATGATCGAGATATTTTGGTCCCAAGTATGATTTTGCCCCTGATTTCCTAGAGAGAGAAAACAGACCGGACCATCTAATGCTCGGCGAACAGATATCTGGTTCCACCGATACGAAAACGGGCGTGACATCGAAGGACGGTTCGACTATAACAGCTGGATTGAATCCGACAAGGGTCGTCGACTCGCCGCCTCACTTGATAAAGATGTTGTGCTTGCAGAAGGGTACAAGGAATACGATACTGGAAGAACATACATGGCGAGGATGGGTGATTGGCGGAATAACAAGGACGAAGAGATTGAGTTGGATGGTATTGGTGGAGTTAATATTTTGGTCAAGGCGGATGTCCATCGATCTGGTGAGTCTTTGTGACATGTTTAATCGAGATTTGGGAAGCCAAATATGTGGTAGCACGGGCCGGCGCTAACATCTGCATCTAGGGATCAACTTTCCCTGCTATGCTTTTGAAAACCAAGCCGAGACTGAGGGTTTCGCAAAAATGGCCAAACGGGCAGGATATCAAGTCGTAGGATTGCCGAACTATGTCGTTTGGGTAAGTCTCTCGCTCTTCCCCGATCATGATTTCTCTTCATTCAGGACCCAGCCTTTCCATTGCAGACCTCGGGTCTGTTTTGACCGGGGTTCCGCACTCAATGCTTCCAGTATTTGAAAGTCTAGGATTTCATTTAACTAATTTTGTCTCTCCATATAGCACATCGATACAGAAGAGAAACCCGGAAATGCTGCCTAGAACAGATTCAAGCCTTTGTTTATAAAAGATCGGGCCCGATTCTTCTCCGAGATTCACGAAACCAAAAGCAAAAAAACAGGGATTGGTCTTTTTTCGGGGGGAACAGGGGTCCTCCTATAGAGCTTATCTTACTTCCCCTCGGCGGATATGATGCGCGTATTTTCATCCAGGCAGGGAGGGCAGGCAGGCACGCAGATCAGATACCTTTACGAGAAGCAGCGAAGAGAAGAGTGACGAGACAGGCCATGCCATGCATGCATGCCAGACCGAGGGGCGGGCGCGGGAGAAGAATCGAGCGAGCGAGCGGGTGAGGGCAGGAGGCTTTGTCTAGAACCAACGCAAGTCAAGTCCAAAAAGTCAAAGTCGACAACGGGCAAACTCTTGTCGTGGAGGGGATCCTTTTTTTGACCGAGTGCCACCCTGCTCCTGCTCCTGCTGGTGCAGGACAAGCAGTGGCATACTGAAGGATGAGTGTAGGGGTTCGTAATAGAAGGCCAGAGATGCAAACTAATAAAGAGCACGATGTGAAATTTGCCCAAAGTATCTACATACCAATAATCCCACCTAGCTAAACACAGTCTGTATACGGTAATCTCGTCTTCTTTCCCTCTCTCCCTCTCCAGCTCTCTTACAACGTTTATGCTTTTATATATCCGCCTCCGGTTCCGTGCGACTACTCGTCAGGACGCGGAAACGGTGCACCTTCGTCTTGCCCTTCTCATCCTCCTCCCCACCCATCTACTTCTTCCCGGGGGCTCTCGTTCCTTCTCTGAATATATGTGTCCTGACTCGGGGGTAAATCTAGTGGAGTGACAGGTGCTGGAGGAGCTTCCCTTCTTAGCTTTGCCTCCATGAAAGACCACTCCAGGCGAGCCACTCGATGCTTTTATCAAGAGTCTATTCCTCCAAGATCGAAACGCCGCCGCTGAGATGTGAGAGTAAAGATCGATTTCCAATTATGGATAGCCAATATACTGGGTCTCGTCAAGGGAATGGAGATATAGATAAAGGGAGGGAGGAAAAGGTGACGGATCTCGGGTTACCGCTTTGATCCAACCCAAAGTCACGGCTCTTTCGGCTCCATGAGACGTCCCTCAGGACCTGTTCCACCATTCCTGCATACTTCCATCATTCGGTCGGGGAGCAGGAACTGATGGCAAGTAGGGTTGAGTCGGGTACCCTGTATACGTTTGTGGCGACTGGTTAGTGTACGGCGCAGGACGGTGAGGGTTGCTCATTTCGATCAACTCCGCCATACGTCCACCAGGAGTTGAATTCTCAATCGGTTCAATATTTTGATTCGGAAGCATCTCCACCGGCATGCTGGTGCTCCTGGAAGCATGGGGCTGAGGAGTAGTGCTCGCGGGAGCGGGTACGTCCAGCCGAGGCGACAGATTGTTCACCGACGAGGCGTGACTGGCGTTGCCCTCTCGGGATGTATTTGACCCGCTGGGGTTTCTGAGACTGCTGCTCCTGCTTACAGGAGGTACATAGTCGTCCCAATTCCGCCTGCTCACCTTCAAGGGTTGCGGCAAGCCTTCATCCCATGTAGACCCAGTTTTGTGGCTTGCCAACGGTCGCAGGCCCGAACCAGACGTTACTTCAACGCTGGCTCGCCTCTCGGGAGCGTCGTCCCAGGCTTCTTGAGGCCGCCAGCTTGTTCGAGCATCGTTCGCTTCTTGTTGGTCGCGCAGAGTCAAGATCGGTTTGTCATAGTCAACCACTGACCCGGTGCGTTGGATGTCGAGAGATCGCGATTCCCGGGTTATTTTTCGTTGCTCGTCATACTCATCACGAAGGCCCTCCCATCGTTCATAGTTTTTCTGCCGCTGTTTTTCACGACGGTGATTCACGAAGCCCTTGTGAGACAGATAAATTGATCCAAAGATCAGGGATGTCATGGTGGCGGACTTCCTCTACCCTCGTAGTGCCTCGGGCTATCTCGCCGCAATTGGAGAAGGGTGGGGTTCGGCAGTTCCAGAAGATAAGATAGGCCTCGATCGAGGGTAGACAGGACAAGTTGATCAAAGATAAGTAGATAGAAGTCGGCTTGTATCTGTCGTCGCAGCAGCGCTCGCCTGAAGAATATGCTCTGGAGCGCTGATGTCGTAGCACTATCGGAGTTTGGTAGTCAGGTATTGACAGGGGACAAGATCAAGGTCTAGTTGCAACGGA